ATCGAACGGGAGACAATGGATTGGTGTTTGCAACAGAAACAGTCCAGTATGATATGACGCATTAATATTTTGCAAATTGACGACTTACTATATGGTATTCAGATTTTATTGAAATAGTCTGTTACTTTCGTGCTAAATACATTTGATTGTCCCCACCCGTGTTCTTGTTCACTACATCACCATCATTACATATATTTACTTACATATTTAGTTCTTGAAACTGTAGTGACTTACTTTTATCAAGAGAACGCGATTGGCCCAATGGAAACAATTATCATTATAACCAATTGTACCAGTGATTGTTTTATTGTGCTTGTTAGTTTAACTGTACTAAAGACGTCCATTATTCTTCCGTTGACCATGGCCTCGTACGCTCGCAATTTCGCCCATTGACTCCGCTTGTATTTCCTTTGGCACGATCTCGGTATACTTTCGATACCGCAAGATCGCCAACGAATAAGTCTTGTTACAACCTTCATTCACCTTCTGGTTTTCTGGTACGCGTTCTTCTTGCAGCGGTGTTCATAGTCAACCGCGACTCGACTCCACACTAAAACACAATTGCCGTCTATTAGCATTCGAATTTTCTATTTATTAATTTTCACATCGCTGCAAACTAGGCTTCTGCCTGGTAATGTGATAGATTCTGGTACTCAGAAACCGTATTGACCTGAGACAAGTGAACTCACCTCGTTTACAAGATATGCAACCAAAACCGACAAGAATTAAAGCAGTCGAGTGAATGGTTTACCGCACTCGAAACATTCAAAAAGTTTGAATTTGCGCATAACCGGCAAGAGGTAATTTCACAGAAATCAACCGTTTTATATAAGCCAGTCACACAGATTTTTTGCTTGTTGTGATTACCCTGCTTTTGTGTGATTTTTACATCAAAATCATTCTTAGTCTTTATCGAAGTACTTTAGTTAAGGTTTGAAACCTTGCTTAAGTTTGTCTTGTGGTACTTTTTTACTCACTGACTGACACTTGTGTTCATACTGTGATCATATTGTGTTTTACACCTTAATCTGACTTAAATGGTTGGTAGTACTCACAAGTGTGGACTACCAAACGGTTTGTTCACTGTGGAGGAAGGAATGCAATGTGATGGATGCAAAAAGTGGTAACATAAGATATACACCCGTTTAACTCCCACCTCATACAAAAGATGCTCGGAGCCTAATCGCATTGGCTTTGCATGTGTTGCTGTACAAATAAGACGTTACTAATCCAGGAGGCTATGAGCTTATCAGCTTTGACTCGTAAGAAGAACGATGGTGGTTGCTGTAGTAACGCGAGTACTGACAGTGAAGAATGTGTCAGTGTAGTACGTGCTGTTACGGAATGAGTCAAACACCCGACTGTGGTTGACAAAAAGTGAAATCTCCGTCAAAACTAACGAGTGAAGTGCCACTTGATATTGACATTGGTAATCATGCATCACTAATGGAAACTGAAAGCCCAGAGAAGCAACGGGATCTCCTGTTAAGTAGCGCTCGTTGTCACGACAATTCCAACATCCGAGTTAGACCTGATATGTCTCTCGAAGATAGAATAAAAAGGAAGAAAGCACTAGGTGAACTAGGAACCCGTCGACAAAACAGTGAGGAAAATCTCCGGTTAGTGGGTTTTCGGATAGTCAGGTCTTGGAAACGAATGCAAACAAGGCCTGTGTTGATAGGCCGTTCTACCTAGGAGTTTTATGTGCCAACGCTCTCAGTCTAAGAAGCATTAGTGGACAGATTAAAGCCACTCATTGTGTCTGTGACAGAAACCTGGTGAGTCCATGACTTATACATTACTCCAGAATTATCCGGACACCATTACCTAAGGAGTGATAAACATAGATGTAGAAGAGGAGGCGGCATCCTGTTATATATAACCAATAATATAAATATCCGCTCCTCTGCTGGTGAATCCCATGATTGCGTTAATTGTGAAGTCATTAGCTGTAAATTGGCTATCAGACTTAGTATATTTATACTCGGTGTCATCTATCACAACCCAATCTGCTTAGCTGATGACTTTATTTTAGAGCATATTCATATTTGGAGTGCTAATACCAGATGCTCGATAATAGGAGACTTGATATTAGTTGGACTGAAATGACCACGGAGGAATCTATAAACTCCTTTGGTAGCAGTTTCCTGATAACAATAATGGAGCATGCATTAGTGCAGCATGTATACAAACCCACACGTTTTGGTGCTAACCAAGGTTCTTCTCTGTTGGACATGGTAACCACACATGATACTGAGGATATCGTTGACCTAAGTATTCTTTCACTGTTAGTGAACAGTGATCACGCTGTTTTGTCATTCACATTTAGAGCTAGTGACATGATATACGATCAGGTTACACCCCGCTCAAATGTATGGAAAGCTAATACATCAGGAGAGCGCTGCCAAGGTGGATTGGTCAGTAGATACGACCTCATCAGTTGAAGAAGCATGGTCTGTATTTAAAGGTAAGTTTAGCTTAGTCACGTACCCGTTCATGCCATACGTGGCACCGCGAAGACCGAATAACAGTCCACCATGGATAGCTAAAATAGTCAGTTAACTTCTTATTAAAAGAAATAAGCACTGAAATATGTTCATCTCTACTGGCTTAGAAAAATACAGATCCAGTCATTGTAAGATTAGGAATGCCTGTAAAGCGTTAATAAATAAGACTAGACAATCATATGAAAAACAATTTGTTAGGGATTCTAGATATAGTCCGAAACGGTTATTCTCGTGTATGAAAAGATGAACTCTATCACTTTTGATACAAGAAAATCCGTTAATACTGGCAAGAAATGATACCGAAAAAGCTGCAGCTTTATCGGGCTAGTTCAGTAAAGTGTTTTCTATCAGTCATGAAGAACGACCAACGACTCATTATAATTCTGACGGCTTGTTGATGGACCCCGTAGTCACTGAGAAAGGAAATGTTCTAAGGCTACTTTAGCATCTCAAACCCGATAAGTCCAGTGGTCCTGATGATATTCATCCTAGGATTATGAAAATCATATCAGATGTAATTGCTGAACCTTTAGCGATACCGTTTGATATGTCTCTAAGGCAGTCCAAACTGCCCAGTGACTGGAAAGAAGCTATAATAAGTCCGATATATAAGGCTGGGAGTAGGAATTTAGTTAGTAACTGTAGGCCCGTTAGCTTAACTAGTTCAGTTGTGAAACCGATGGAAAAAGTACTAGGATAGCTGCTATAAACTATGTTGAAAGGCACAATCTTTTATTCAGAGAACGACACGGTTTTCGGAGAGTCCTATCATGTTTGGCAAACCTCCTCATCGCAAGAGAAGATTGGGCTGTTGCAAAAGATCGAAATATTTCTGTAGATGTGATTTTCATTGGCCTAAGTAAAGCCTTCGATAATGTCTCTCACTCTGGTCTTAAATTCAAACGGGAATGTCTTGGAATCCATTAAACAGTCATAGATTGAATAAGTGATTTTCTCCATGACAGGAGGCAAAGGGCAAGGGAAAATGGAGCTCCCTCCTCGTGAGAACATATAAAATGTTGAGTTCCCCAAGGCACAGTCCTCGGTCTTCTTCTCTTTTTACTTTATGTGAATAAATTACCAACTGTAGCAAAATCATTCCTTCTACCCTTCGCTGATGATATAAAAATTTGGAGACCCATACACACTATGTCGGATAGGATAGGATTACAAAATGATCTTAGCTCAATGGTGGAATGGTTGGACAGGTGGTCACTAGGAGTAAATCCTAATAAGAGTGTGGTGATAAGTAAGTATGATGAATCGTATCACTATACAGTATGTGGATTCGTGCTACCCAAATTAAGAAACTATAAAGGTTTAGGAGTCATATAAAGCAGTGACCTCAAAACAATTAGTCACTGTAAGGCCGCTGTTGCGAAAGGCTATAGGGTATTATGGTCTATTCGTAGGTCTTTTCAGTATTTAGATGATGAAATGTTTAGATTATTATACCCGATTTATGTGCGACTACATTTAGAATATGGGATTCAAGTAGTTAGTCCTTGTTTCAAGTATGAGGTGGATATGCTGGAACCAGTCAAATGACGATGGACTAAGATGGTAAAAGGTCTATCAGGCTAATCTCATGAAGGCAGACTGAGACATCTTAACTTATTTCCGTTATCTTACGTAGAATACGGGGTGATCTAATATTGGCTCATCGTATGCTGATCAAAGAAAACATGGAACTCAAAACAACTTTCAACCAATATCAACGTTACAATCTTCAATACGAACGTCAAGACAGTTCTACTGTACGAAGCTGAAACTTGGAGAACTACAACAACCACCATCAAGAAAGTAAAAGTATTTATAAATAGCTGTCTATGCAAGGTACTCAACATCCATTGGCCGGATACCATCGTCAACAGCCTTCTCTGGGAGAGAACAAATCAGCTTCCAGCTGAAGAGGAAATTAAGAAAAGACGATGGAAATGGATAGGACAGACATTACACTAATCATCAACCTGCATCACGAGGCAAGCCCTGACTTGGAATCCTGAAGGGAAGCGGAAGAGAGGAAGGGCAAAGAACACATGACGTTGGAAAATAGAAGCAGATATGAAAAGGATGAATAACAACTGGGAAGAGTTGGAAAGGATTGCCCAGGACAGGGTTGGATGGAGAATGCTAATGAGTAAGTAAGTATACTGGACAATGACCTTGGTATTGATACCCCTTATCTTTCACTTTCGTCTAGGACTGATCGTTTGAGAGGACATTCAAAGAAAGTTCAAAAACCGAGATCAAATCCTTTACGTTTGCAGTTTCGTTTCTGGAATTCTCTACCGGAACACGTAATATCAGCACCCTCTGTTGATATATTAAAAACGAGATTGAACCTTCACGGTATTACAAATTGAAAGGATTATTATAGGTCGATAGACCTATCCTTATTACTGAGGACTGAAGACTGATATGAGCATGCATGGGTTTGGGCGCCAAATTTAGTAGATCCGTTACGAGTGGGTTGGAGGTCTCGCTGCAAAAATGGTCAGACTCCTTAGTGTATGTTCTTATGTGTAGAAAATCAAGTGCTCCTTTAGATCCGTCAAATAGGATTAACTATGAGGTCCGTTTCCAGAGGACTGTCAGTTTCTGGTAGCACATACGGATAATCATTAAATATTTGTTGTAGCTCGTCGTCTTAAGGCAGATGTTGTTGTCATTGGATCGGGTCCGGGTGGATATGTTGCCTCCATTAAAGCTGCACAATTGGGCCTGAAGGTTTGTTTGTAAAACGAGAGTAACATGACCTTAATTATATTTTCCGCAGACAGTGTGTGTAGAAAAGAACGACACTTTGGGCGGTACTTGCTTAAACGTTGGTTGTATTCCCAGCAAATCGTTGTTAAATAATTCTCATTTATATCAACTCGTCAATTCCTCAGAGATGCAACACCGTGGAATTGATATTGGAAGTTTCAAGCTTAACCTACCTGCTATGTTGAAAGCTAAAGAAAAAGCTGTTTCAAGTCTAACTGGTGGGATAGCATACCTATTTAAGCAAAACAAGGTATGTTTTCACACAATTTAGACAAAATGCTCATTCTAACATAAGGCTTTTACAGCATGCCCGGTTTCAGACCCTGTTTCAAATCCCGGAGATATAGTTCGAGTTAGTTGACGTTAGGTTTCCATGTGTTCTAGAAACAAACGAAAGATAAAAGTCTATTTCAAACCGCATTAGTCACATTTGAAGTCTGCTTGGATTTCTTGAGTTCGGTGTCACAACCTACATCAGTGAGACCATTATTTATGGACGACCTTCGAGTGACGCCAAGATGACCTTGAGAATGTCCACCTAATAACTAGGATCAAATGAGGATTATAAACCAGTGTGGAGAATAGAAATTATTATATTTAGAGTTTTCATCACGAGCTGATATCAGCTATAATACCAAAAATTTATTTAGCCAAGCGGATGAGTGAATTTTGCGCCAAGATCCGAGGCCTGTTATCTTATACCTGATTGATTCGTCATAAATAATAGTCTCGGCGCTACACCTGTATTATAAAATATGCATGACAATGAGCTACAAACGTTGTCAGACATGCTTTTTTGTATCACACAAATGTTTTCCCTTTCACAGAAAAGAGTGATCTGGTTTTCATAATAACTCCAAGTAGTTATGTCCATTTTCCGTGCTTTAAATCAACGTTCAAGGGTTTCAAAATCCGTATCACAATTGTTATTTCTGATTATAGGGCAATACAGTTCAGTTTTGGGTCACTTAAAATATTTAACTGGGGAGCTTGTTGTTCGATCTCGACTCGATTCGTATGATTGTATGGCTTTGCCCAGTCTGCACGCAACTGGAATATTTCTGCCAAAACATAAAGCTAAAGAGTAATTTATATGAGTTTCCTCTGAGTGCTACAACTAAAACAATTTGGCGTTTCAGTAGAACTAGTGAAATTTTACTTTTCCCACAATGGGCTTTAAAAAGTTCTATACATTGCATTCTATCAGGTCAACGAATTAATTAGTAAAGAGTTACTTTTTATCTGTCAAAAAGTGGTAGAGATTCAGGTATCTGATTTTAAATGATACTAACACGTTTTCCGTACGACTTTTACTGTTGAATACTGTTTGGTCTTGTCAGTCATCATTGCAACCTTAATTCACAATTTAGAGGTATGAAAATGGTTGCTTCCGTATATAATATTAGCTAGCTTTAGACACGAACTCGTCAATATCACCAACTAGTAGTATTCATATCTTGTTGTGAATATTGGTGATAACATTAACCCTTTATTTGTTCCTCGTTAAATCTGTAGATTCTTTCTTAACGAATAACCATTCGTGATTTCCAGTGTTATTTAATAAGATCTGTCAGAAGTTAGTGTATTAAGTAGTCGAATATTTTATCTCTATTCTTCTTGACTAGTACATGTATTGTTTTATCTACTGCCAAACAATTTTTTACACATCAGCACTCTCACTTTTAATACTCATTTGAAATCAGGTTGATCATGTAAATGGTTTTGGTTCGATAGTTAACCCCAACGAAGTTGTGGTCAAAAAAGCTGACGGAAGTGAAGAACGGATTGCAACTGAACGTATTCTTATTGCAACAGGCAGCGAAGTCACTCCATTCCCTGGGATTGATATCGATGAACAGTCTATCGTATCAAGCACTGGCGCGTTGTCGTTAACCAAGGTCCCTCAACATCTTATAGTTATCGGGGCTGGAGTTATCGGCGTCGAATTAGGTTCTGTATGGAAGCGATTAGGTGCTGAAGTAAGCTTTTAGGGATCAGTATTAACTATTATATATTGGTTTAGTCTTTTCTTAAAATTAAAATTTACGACTGATTCTCGATTGCTGAGAAACCATAGCTTCTCGGTCCAAATATACATCATTGTTGGTTAGATCACTTCTGTTGTACTAGTCCTTTCTTATCCTCATACTTCAGACCATATGTTTACTTGTCCAACCGGAGTAAATAGTGCAAATCGATTTTACCGTTTAGTGAGTTAAAAACTGACACTTCTGCATTTTTAAATTCTAATCATATGATTATTTACACGACGTTTGTGCTCAGTTCTCCTGTGTTGATTACGTAGTTTTTCTACATTATCTTCGGTGTACCAAACACAGACCATAAGCTTATCCTTTTGATTCACCATTATTTATCCTAATCACACAAATTTAGTATCTGTAAACCATTCAAATAATATTCTCTGAGGATAACCCTATGTGTGTTACACATAAAAGAACGTGAATACATAAAGTTCAGTCCACTCAACATTCAGCTTTTACCAACCTGTTATTACAAGTAGACTAAGTTCAAAATGAGTCACAAACTTCCGTATAAAAAATTATGATACACTCAGTCGAAAGAAACATAAAAACAATGTTGAACTGAACGTAATTATGCTTTTCAAACATTATCCTCCAGAAGTCATCTGTATTGACATCTAGTTCAACATATGATTGAGAATAATAATCACTTTGAGTATTTGTGATGTTGAATTATTCTAAATGACTGAACAAACCTTAAGGTTTATTTATTATTATTTATTTGAACACATAAATATTGGTACAAGATAGCGCCAATATATATGCGCCACACAAAACGATGAGAATTTAAAGAGGAGGAAAAAGAAAAAGGGTAAGGAGCGCTAAAAAAGAACAATAACGAAGAGATTGGTGTAAGGTAGTGTAATAATAATAATAATAATAATAATGGGGGAACGGAAAGGTACAATCAGAAGAAATCTTTCAGTTAAGGAAGATACAACCACTTTTTACGAAGAAAGTAAAAGAAGGTTACAGCAGGATCGCCACTGGCTTCTATTCTGAGCCATATCTGATAACGTCTCTAGCCACTGTGTAGCACCACCTCTAGGACCCCAACCAGGGAGTCGTGAAGGACCAACAAAAGCCAGTCCTTTGCAGCTTTCTTTCATGCCACGACACCATGTCATGCACTGACCACCTCTCCGCTTTTTCCAACCAGTCCCAGAGTCGAGAAATAATGCACGACGTGGACTTCTCTGGGACGACATTCGGAGAACATGTCCAAGCCAACGAAGTCGGTGTTTCAAGATGGTGACATCGATTGCATTATCATCTCTGTGCCCGAACACACGATGCCGAACCTCTGCATTACTGACATGGTGTTGCCACTGGATGTCAGCAATCCTTCGGAGACAGCGATGATCGAACACAGAGAGTCGTCTAACGTCCTCAACTCGGAGAGACCAGGTTTCACAAGCATAGAGCAAAACTGCTCTCACCGACGCGTTGTAGATCCGACCTTTTACAGTCAGACTAACATCACGAAGGCGCCAAAGGTGGCCCAGATTGGCATAAGCCGCTCTGGCTTTCACTATACGTGCATTGATCTCATCACTCACGCCACCACCAGCACTTATGCAGCTACCCAGGTACACGAACTTCTCAACTACGTCTATCTGCTCACCATCCAGAGTGAGTGCAGGATTAGAATCCTGTCAGTCTTGTAGAAGTACTTTACACTTGGAAGGTGCAAAGCACATACCATACCTGCGGACACTGATTGCCAACTGATTAAGTGCGGATTGCATGGCTTGGGCATTGTCGCACAGTAAGACAATATCATTCGCATACTCAAGGTCGAGAAGTCTTTCTCCAGGTGACGGATCCACACCACCATTACTTACATCCATCATAGCTGTTTCCAGAATGTCATGGATGGCAAAGTTGAAGAGGAATGGTGAGATTGAGCAACCCTGCTTAACCCCACTGCTCGAATGGAACAATGGAGAGAGGTGGTTGTATTCCCCGACTCTCTGCCTGAGGTGTTTGTATATAGGGCTTTTAGGATGTTAAAAAACTTACAGTGATTCCATAAAATTAGACTGGTATTTATTAAGTTGCCACCTGTGAAAGTTGGATAGACAGACATCTTAGTAGAATTTCGTTTATAAGTCCATGATTTGTTCATGCACTGTACTAATAATTTTGACACTGAGAGAAACTATTCTATTCTCCTCTTTTCCCTGCTCTGCTAACTAGTGTAGAAACACCAGATTTAAAGGCGAAGTTATCTAATGCTGACCCAGTGTTCAATTAAAAGACCAATAAAAATTACCATAATATGTCATTGACACAAAATACCGTAAAATTGTATTGAAATTCCGTAATTACTGTTCACACTGAATTATTTAATGTAACAGGATTTCAACCTAATTGACATCGATTTCATTCTCATGATTTGTAATTTAGGGTTGCATATCCTATCCCTTTAATAGCGTGGTTCTCTTGGGTTCACTTAAAATTGAACCGTCTGCCACCGTCTTCGGGTCGACTATCTTCTAGGTCGTAGATTTACCAGTTCTTGCGGTGCAATGTTTTCTTTTTAATATTTTGATTGGGAGCTGTGATAATCTGAAATTATTTAGTAGTATCTCAGGCGGATAATATACGTCTTCATAATCGGTTGAGATGTCATGTTCGATTATCTCTTTCTACCGGTACCTCATACATTACTTGACATAGCCTTCGTGTCACTCGTCTCTTTGTCCATGTGTCATACCTTGGTCTTTAATCTCGGACAAATGCTGAGGCTCTCATTGATACCACATTTCTTATGGGTAGTCTTTTTTGGTAGCATCAGTTTGTGGGTTATTCCTAATCTGTGACCCGTAATTTATTAGTGTCGTTTGGTATACACCAACAAAAAATCGTGCAATTTATCGATGTGTTCTTTCTCCCTCTGAATTTAGTAATACTCTTTTTGAAGTCCACAAACTGCTCTGCTTGTTCATTTGACTGATGATGATAAGCTTATATGTGTGATGGATTGTCAGCGAAAGAACTCTTGAAAATGTCCTGAAGTAAGTTAAGATCCATTATCTGACTCTATAGTATCTGGTACCCCGTTGCAAAGAAAGATCTCCGCCAGTGTTTGAAGGGTTTTCGTTGTTGATGGTGAGACCAACTGAAGAACCTTTGACTATTTTGGGGATACCTGCTTCGGTTTGAGCACCCGGGCAGTATCACAGCCCTCACACACATCAAATGAGATTTGTGTGGCGCATATGTATTTGGTGCCTCCTTGTACCAATATCTATGTGTTAAAATAAATAAATAAATAATTTTGGGGATGCACCAACGAGAACCAAAATATTTGGTGCATTGTCAGTCAGTCAGTCAGCTACAACGTAGGACCAGGCACATATGTGCATCGGTCCAGGTTGCCATACCTCATTAGCACAGCAAGATGAACAGCGGATTCATAGGAGTGGTTAGGTCAAAGGTTGCAATAAGGATATAGTATAGGAAGAAAGAATTAGTTCGTAGACAGAAAGAATGAAGTGATATTAATCTCTTAGTTTAAGGGAAGACAGGGAGTGTATACACCGACGCCACTGTGATCGATTCTGAGCCATGTCACCAAGAGTCTCCAACCATTGGTTACGAAAGTCACGCGGACCCCAACCAAGTAGTCTGCATCTACCAACATGGCTCAGACTAGAAGTTAGTGACTTCAAGCACTGATGCCACGTTTTGGTTTGGCCGCCCCTAACTTTCTTCCAACCATCCCCTACCCCGGTTAGCATTGCACGTCGTGGTAATCGGTGTTCAGGCATACGTAATACGTGGCCCAACCATCTCAGTCGATGAAGATTCATAACCTCATCAACTGATTTACCATCATTACCTAATACCCTACGTCTAACCTCACTATTACTTACCCGGTGATCCCAGCAGACGCCAGCAATATTTCTAAGGCATCTGTGGTCAAATACTAGTAGCTTACGCGTGTCTTCTACTCTTAGTGGCCATGTTTCGCTGCCGTAAATTAAAACAGAACGAACTGCCGCGCAGTATACTCGTCCTTTTATTGAAAGACGGATATCTCGCCTTCGCCAAAGGTGCATTGACTGGTCCTGCAAAGTCTGTGTGGATTGTTGATCTTTGTTTCTTGTTAATATTTAGCACAGCCGTTTACAAAATCCGTAATCTGATGGTCCATGATCTGTCTATAGGTAAAACTCTTGGCAACAGACTTCATACGGTTTATGCTTATTATTATTAATGGCTTTACTCAATATTATATACCCGGATGGCTGCTGTAAGATTGCCAAAGTGCCTAAGGACGGAGGTATTTAAGCACCACCACCCATTCGCCAAACATTAACCAGTCATCTACAATGCATAATAACTCACGATGGGAAAAAGCTGTTTTATTTTTTCCTCTGAATTAGTCTTTTCTATCCATTCATGACGAATCCAAATGATTGCTGAATTACAGGACGTCTGTAATTAACATTAGCAAAGCTCAAGTGGCGCTCGTATAGTCTCGTTTAGCTAATATTGCGATTACTAATACTCCAACTCCTGTTGGATCCTCACTTATCAAACAAGACTGTGCATTCACTTGACGGTATTGTATTTAAAAATCATATCCATGTAGAATCAGCGCCCATCTCTGTAAACGATTTGCTACGTTTATGAGCATTCCAGATGTAAAGCTGTAAGCCCACTAGTGACCTGTGATCTGTTATAAGAGTAAATATTTTCCCCTACACCAGCTTGTGCAAGCGATGGATGACAAACACCAAGTTTAAAGCCCCCCTTTTTTGCTTAGCAGTGTCTTCTCACCCTCCGGATAAGTGTCCGAGCAGCTTATAAAACGGCTTTTTCTTTTCCGTCCGTGAATAAATGTGTCATGACTGCGCCTACACCATGACTTGCAACACCAGACACTACAATGATGGGCGACGTAGAATCGTAATGTTTCAGCAGCATTTCGGAACGCACTGCAGACTTCAATTCACAAAATGCTGATTCACATTCCTTTGTCCAGTTCCACAATGCTTCTTTTCTAAGTAGGTGGTTCAGTTCACGACACATTTGATGTGACAGTGACATGAAATCTGAATAGTAGTTCATAAGTCCTAGAAAGCATCTGAATGATGTTATATCTGTTGGTGTTTCCACTTACTAAGTAGCCCGGATATTATTTGGATCCGGTCGATTACCGTTGGCAGCAGATATAAATAAAGTATTTCAGTAATTTTCTGGATAGTAACGGAAGCTAGTTTCTTTGATATGTTGCTGCATGGTTTTTATGCAATTTTGCAGGTCTGTTGGTGAGTCTGAGTCAATTAGGACATCATCCAGCATGCAACAACTTCTGGAATACCAAATAGAAGAGTGTTCATTAATTACTGAAAAAATGGTTTGGGCAGTACATACTACTTCTTGTGTATGATTCCGTTAAAGAGATATGTTAATATTTTATTTATTCGAACACATAAATATTGGTACAAAGGGGCACTGAATATATATGCGCCACACAAGTCACTTGATTTGTGTATGATCCATGATACTGCCCGGATGCCCAAACCGAAGCAGGTGATTTTCTTAGGGGAGCACACCCGGAGCCTTCGATCTAAAGGTCTAATCCACAAGGCAGTGGAACGACGATAAGAGATGCAGTCCCATGGTGGCCGGTGACCAACAATAGGTTCATACTCTACTTGTCCCTTCGGGATACAGGAGCCCATGTGCACCATTGGTTTGGAATCAGGGTTTTCAAACTCCCCTAGGTGGACTCTCCGTGTCCACCAACCCGGTTAAAGGGCCGGACATTCGCTTTTCGTCCTGTCAAAGTACTAAACAACAGTAATGTCACGAGGAGGCAGTGAGTAGGATTTCTCTGAAAGTGGTTGTGTACGGGTGGTCATGTGAGATCGTTTCGAGAGGGAGAGCTGACTCTCCCTACCCTCAGCTGTTCCAGGGCATTTGGGTGCGGTTAGTGTTTACAAACCAGTCCTATCATGAAATCTGTCTAACCATCACCATGCCCCCAAATGCCCTGGTATGGCCGAGAGTGGGGAGAGTCCGCTCTCCCTCTCGAAATGCTCCCACATGGCCACGCGTATATAGCCTCTACCAGGGAAGTCCTACTCACTGCCTTCTCGTGGCGGGGGTGTTGTTTACGAAAATGAGAGGACGAAAAGCGAATGTCCGCCCCTTTAACCGGATTTCAAACCAATGGTGCACATGTGCTCCAGTATCCTGAGGGAACAAATGGCGTATGAACCAATCGTTGGTCACCGGTTACCATGGGACTGCATCCCCTCACGATGCTCCACTGCCTTGTGGATTAGACCTTCAGGTCGAAGGCTCAGAGTGGCCCCCTAAGGAAACCACCTGCTTCGGTTTGGGCACCCGGGCAGTATCACAGACCTCACACATATCGAATGAGATTTGTGTGGCGCATATGTATTTGGTGCCTCCTTGTACCAATATCTATGTGTTAAAATAAATAAATAATCACCGATGCTGTGCCGTAAGGAACTGTTCATGTCTAATATTCGATCCACTTTATTATGTACAAATAAATTATATTCTAGTTCATTTTACAAACAATTACTTATGGTAATTCTAACCTTCAGTACGTGGATTTATCGTTTTCTGGTTGCTGGAAAACATCCATAATGGAAACTTATTCCATTTCAATATACTCTGTGCCATGTAAACAGTTTGTCCATTTGCGTTTTACCTCGTTCATTTGATCTATTTTTCTTTTTATTTCAGGTCACTTGTGTGGAATTCCTTGGTCATGTTGGGGGTATGGGCATCGATATGGAAATAAGCAAGAACTTTCAGAAAGTCTTGACTAAACAGGGTCTCAAATTCCTTTTGAATACTAAAGTTTTGTCAGCGTCAAAATCTGGTGACACCATTACAGTACAGTTAGAAGGTGTAAAAGATGGTAAATCTCAAAGTGTAAGTGATTCTATTTGTCGTTGAGACAGAATTTCTAAAATATTCTAATACGTATAATAACTAATTTTTTATTTCATTGTCGTTTATTTTCAAATCAAACTTCTTTTTTATTCTAGATTAGCTGTGACACCCTTTTAGTGTGTATAGGAAGGCGTCCTTACACCAATGGCCTTGGTTTAGAAAATGTTGGAATCAGATTGGACGAGAAAGGTCGAATTCCCGTTAATAAAAACTTTCAGACATCTGTCCCGAAGTATGTTTCTTAATCATTGCAAACCATGGTGTCCATATTTGACTTTGTCTGTTATCTTTTTTTGATGTACTAAATTTTCATTAAGAATGGGAGTAATTTTCAGAGTCATATGGACTACTTATGAATAAGAAAAAACCATTGACCTTGATACAAGTAACATCGTTTAGTTTTCAATGTTTATATTTTATTAGTGGTAAGCGACTTTGATCAAGAAGAGTGTTTAGTTCATCATATCCATAAAAATGGGGAATATCATACAAGAACACACTGTGATTTTTTACATCGGAAGGATCGCGATGGAGAGTAAATAACATGAAACAATCGCAGGTGTTTCACCATTAGACCATTTAAAACAGTTGATCCGGATTCAGGTTTCGAAATACTGACATTGGTAAACAGAAACAAATCAATTCGTTAAATCTCAAATTTACACTAATTTGAGCGATGTCATCATCCGTCACATATCTTGAGTTTTTTCTTTTACATATATACTGTTGAAATGTCTTTAGACTTCAAACAAATGTCGGAATGTATTTCCCTGTTCTATTTCATAGTTCTGATAAACTTCGTCTTGTTATTGAATTATTAAAACTTATCAAAGAAACAAACCATTGCAGATGATACTTCTATTAAAGTGTATGTAAATAGACTCACTGAGCTATGAAACGGAAAAATAAGATGAGCAAAAGTAATTATAGGAGTACGACTGCCTCGAGGTCAGTTGAGGTACATAAACTTAAGGATGTAGATATGGTTACCAACCATCTTATGGTTCTAGAAATAGTCAGAAAAACATGAAATTATTAATGATTGTTATGTTTACTGAGTCAAATCAAGAAATAACAGGTATATGGGGTTTCGGGATTTTCCGAAAGTATTACTTACTTTAGCCTGTTACCTCTTGGGGCACAGGCTTCCAACCACGAATCTCTAACCCCCTCTTTCATGAACTCTCCTTTCTAATTGCTGTCAAATGCTATTCGTCCTTTTGATTTCAGCACACAATTCCTAGCGTGATATGCCTGCGTCTTCTCCCTTTGCCTTGATAATTCCAAGGTAGGGCTGAGGTCCTTATAGGGTCACTTCCACTCCCAAACCCGGGTAAAGGAAGGAGATCGAGGATAAGGTTAGCAACCCAACTCTGAACAAAGAACCATACCAAAATAACGCTAACCACAAAAAATAATCTACACTTAAACTTTAAAAGTACTGGTTTGCTGAAAATGTTATATATGCAGTTTTTTGGTTTTCTTGAGTTATTTGATACATCTATATGAATGTCAAATTGAGATATAGTAGCTTTATTCATACTACACATGACAGCCGTTATTTTTTAATGCCTGATAATGTTTTTTTTAGTGGAGGAAAAGAAAATCCAATAGTTACAAGTTACTTTGGATTGATACAATCCTCCTAAATCAATGTTACTCATAGAACATCTGATTGTATAAAATTAACTCAGTCAGATATTTAATGAGTATACAATTTTTTTTTCTAATCTGTGTTAAGCTTATTAGCCAATGTGAGGAAAATTCCAAGAGACCTTAAAGATATGAAATATGCATTAATTTCAAACAAACTTCGGAGTGTAGAAAACTATGCATTAGATAAATTAATACCAGTTAACTAATTAAAACTGACTAAATAATTTTCAACTACTAAATTCCAGAAACGTAGTTCATAAGTAATAACCTCTTTGTTCTGTTTTAAAAATAATTCATAGTTTCTTTTTAAAAAAATATTAACATATGTCTAAACACAGCCTGTCTCTAAACCGGTAGCTATGCTACAGAGATGTATTCATTTACTGCCTTTTTTAAATCATGATTTTTAATATTGCTTCGTATTGGTTTTTCACTACTTAGTTTTATCCTTTTAGCATATCTCCTCTCTGTCTTTTTCTCTTTACTGACGTATCAACTTAAGTTGTCACTTATTTGTAGCAGACTGTAAGCTACTTATAACTGAATAGTGATTAACTAATGATCTTTGTTATTCACTAGTTTCCTCAGGTTAGCATCAGTTAAATATTACAACTATTCTCCTAAATTTGGTATTATTGCCAAGGTTTGACTTGATAATTTCGAATAAATTGAGCATTGGGTAGATTGTTATGAATGAAGTAATATATTTGTAATATCTCTTAAAAGCTACTATTTTAGGCAATGGCTGTAGTTAAAATGTTTGAATCAACTAGTGTTATTATGATTGAGATACATCACTATGACACAATGGGTCTTTTTATTAAAAAAATATCACTCTTTGTTATTGCATCACTATGGTGGTCTTGCTTGACTTAAAAGCACCATTTGACTCCGTAGACCGAGAGGTTTTGTGGCAGTGTCTGTCATTGAGTGGTGTACTTCAGAAGTACACACACCTTATGAAGGCTCTTTACTCGAACACTACTAGTCGAGTCAGAGCTTATGGCGAACTGTCATCTGCTTTTGCAAACTCAAGTGGTGTCAGTCAGGGCTGTCCACTATCTCGATTTTCGTTTAACTTCATCATAGACATACTGATGGAAATAACATTCTCGTCAACTGAATTCTCGAGTATTGATCTCCTTCCAGGAGATCCACTTCTCGACTTAGAATACGCAGATGACATAGTCCTGTTTGGTGAAGACGCTGATAAAATGCAGAGTCTTTTAGTAGCACTCAGCAACAATGCCAGAATGTTTGGAATGCGCTTCTCTCCCTCTAAATGCAAGTTGTTGCTTCAGGACTGGTCTGCGTCAACATCTGAACTAAGGATAGGGAGTGAAGTAGTCAAACGCGTCGACAACTTCACTTATCTTGGAAGTCTGATCAACCCTAGTGGGTTGGTGTCTGACGAAATCTCGGCACGGATTCGAAAAGCTCGCTTGGCTTTTGCCAACTTACGTCACCTATGGCGAAGGCGAAATATCCGTCTTTCAATAAAAGGACGAGTATACTGCGCGGCAGTCCGTTCTGTTTTAATTTACGGCAGAGAAACATGTCCATTAAGAGTCGAAGATACTCTTAAGCTATTAGTATTTGACCACAGATGCCTTAGAAATATTGCTCGCATCTGTTGGGATCACCGGGTAAGTAATATTGAGGTTAGACGTAGGGTATTAGGGAATGATGGTAAATCACAGTTGATGAGGTTGTGAATCTCCATCGACTGAGATGGTTGGGCCACGTGTTGCGTATGCCTGAACACCGATTACCACGGCGTGCAATGCTAACAGGTGTTGGGGATGGTTGGAAGCAAGTTCGGGGCGGCCAAACTAAAACGTGGTATCAGTGCTTGAAGACGCTAACTGTTGGTCTGAACAATGTTGGTAGATGCAGACTACTTGGTTGGGGTCCGCGTGACTTTCGTAACCAATGGTTGGAGACTCTTGGTGACATGGCTCAGAATCTATCACAATGGCGTCGGTGTATGCACTCTTTGTCTTCCCTTAAACTAAGAGATTAAAATCGCTTCATATCTTTCTTTCTACGAACTAAATCTTTCTTCTTGTACTATATCCTTATATGAAATCTTTCTTTTATATATTACCACCTCTGAATTAACTGCTTTTATGAATCCGGTGTCCATCTTGTTATGTTAATGAGGTATGGCAACTTGGACCAATGCATATATGTGCCTGGTCCTACGTTGTAGCTGACTGACTGACTGACTATTAACATGTTTTCATTTTATCTGTGATGACCTTTTCACATCCTAGTAGAGGTGATTATAATAAATTGTACTGTTTATAGATACCGTTTTACGTCATTGCATATCTGTTCGCAACATATTACAGTTCAAAACATTCATATAAATGATTTAAAAGGCTAGCAAATATTAACAATCGTACAGTCATGGTCGTTCGTATGATTTTGTCACATAATTGTTACATGGTTTATCGTAATAAAACTCAGAAGAAATTAGTTGTGCATTGCTTATCGTCTTATAATTTGATATAAACCATGTTTTTGTGTGATACTCTAGTACTTCTAATTATTTTATTTACTGAAAACATTTATAAATATCTTATTTCAAATATTAGTATTTATGCTATCGGCGACTGTATACCTGGTCCAATGTTAGCACACAAAGCTGAAGATGAAGGAATAATTTGTGTTGAAGGAATGCTTGGTGGTGCTGTACACATTGATTATAACTGTGTCCCTAGTGTTATCTATACTCATCCTGAATGTGCTTGGGTTGGTAAAACTGAAGAACAATGCAAAGCAGAAAACATTCCATACAAGTTAGTAGTTATTTTATTGATAGCATATCATTTACTGTTGTGTAGTTTCCATATTTTCTTGTTTATATATATATATATATATGCTACCAGAAGACTGCATTTTATCAGCGTCTTCACCAAACAGGACTATGTCATCTGCGTATTCTAAGTCGAGAAGTGGATCTCCTGGAAGGAGATCAATACTCGAGAATTCAGTTGACGAGAATGTTATTTCCATCAGTATGTTTATGATGAAGTTAAACGAAAATCGAGATAGTGGACAGCCCTGACTGACACCACTTGAGTTTGCAAAAGCAGATGACAGTTCGCCATAAGCTCTGACTCGACTAGTAGTGTTCGAGTAAAGAGCCTTCATAAGGTGTGTGTACTTCTGAAGTACACCACTCAATGACAGACACTGCCACAAAACCTCTCGGTCTACGGAGTCAAATGGTGCTTTTAAGTCAAGAATGACCACCCTTGTCGGACGTCGATAAGTATGCCTGTGTTTTAGAACCTGACGAATGGTGAATATGTGGTCGATGCAGCCACGACCAGGTGTGAACCCAGCCTGATTTTGTCGTGTTTGCAGTTCACGAGTCTTAGCTATGCGTCTGATAATTATTGATGCTAGTATTTTAGATGCCATGTTATTCAAACTAATCTCTTCATGTTTATCACAGGATGACTTTGACCCATTCTTATATATTGGGACAATAAGTGGTTGCGACCAATCAGATCGCTATATATATATATATATATATATATATATATATTTACGCGGTGCTCTTTAATTTTTATGTTTTTTTTCCTGTCATATAGAGTAGGCAAATTTCCAATGTCTGCAAATTCACGAGCTAAAACTAATGATGAAACTGATGGACTTTTCAAGGCTTTAGCCCACAAAGATACAGACAGACTTCTTGGAGTACACTTACTTGGTCCATCTGCTGGTGAACTGATCAACGAAGCAGTATTAGCTATGGAGTATGGCGCTTCAGCTGAAGACGTTGCACGTGTCTGTCATGCCCATCCGGTTAGTCATGTTTCAAAGTGTATAGCCCCTTTTCATATTTAAATTAGTTTTACTTCTCACTATTAATTATCCATAGAGGTTTACAAGTAGTAGTATGTCTTCGTTCGAAACAAATATTTTTTAGGTATATGTGGTCTTTTTAGATGATATGTATTGATATTTTCCTATTCATGGAATTTTGTTACAATCACCCGAAATGAAACTAAATAACTTTACTATTTTCATGCTGAGAAATCGGAGTTAAACCTAGTCAGCAACTCAGAACTAAGAAAAACTACATTACAAAAATCAAGAGAATCGGTGATTAATCTTTAACGTTTACATTCATATCCACTCACTAGCACTAGCATAATTAGTATGTGAGCTGTCTTCTACCTTAATATTCTTACTAGTTTGGCAGGGTTTAGGTCTCAATATGTTGATTCCCGTTCGTTCGACTTTTAGTTTTATATTAGAATACTTGGCCGTGTCTTTCTACTGTTGTACCACTTTTCCTCAATCTTTTTGTTGCATGGTCGCTTTAGTTTAACAACCAAAAAGTAACAGTATTCTATGCATTAATGAGTAGTGGATTGGTTTTTACTTAGTACCTTAAAATAACTTGCGGTTTCTCATGCTTACTTTAATTTTACAATACGGCTTTTGGACTCATTCCACCTTGACAGCAAAATGTAAAGCGAGGTCAACAAAAGGCCATTTAAAGAATATTTTAGGAACCTGTAAGAAAATAGTCAGTAGTCTTGTGAGTATACAACAGATATCGTAACGTTTCTGGCAATACTTTGAGTCAATGAGTTTATACATACTGTTTATCTAGTGCTTTGTCACCAAGGTTCTCCTAACACTAATTTTTGACATTTCAAGAAGCCCGGCTAAAAAATCTAAACTTTCCTACTTGACTGGGATCAGTTTTTTGCATAAGTAACTTGTTGAAATACCCTGTGCTGAGAATTCTATATTGTACCAAAATATAATATTGAATAAAGCCATTAATAATAATAATAATAATAATAATAATAATAATAATAATAATAATAATAATAATAATAATAATAATTATCTCTAAGGAAATCTCACATCCCCAAATCAAGTTGGTACCATCCAACACTATTGTCAGAAACTTAGAAGTAGGAATATTCATTTCAGATAATTAAAATAACTCCCAGTGTCATTGATTAAGAAAAAGAGAATTCACCGAAGAAAATTTTCTTTTTGACGAAATTATTTATTTCAGTTATAGTTATTAAAATTAAAGTACAGGTTTAATAATTAACAAATGATAATGGCGATGATAGTTTTGATAAGAATCGTCCACCCGCTTTCAGTCTAATCATTAATTTATTAAGACTTGTTTTTGTATATATAATGGTGAAGAATGTGTTTTGTCGTATATATGAGAAAATGATTGAATAGTTGGTAACTACCTTAAATACACAAAAAAAATGTCAAATTAGAATCAGAGCTTATATTAGCACTAGTAAAAATAAATAATAAAGATGTAATCATGACATTAACATCCACTCCTATTCAATCTGAGTGGAACAAAGAATAACTATTATTATGACCCCACTTTAGAAAATGAGATTGAATAAACGGTTTTAATGGTGCATAAATTTGATCATAAAGTTCTAATCGCTGTTTCATTTTATACGTTTGATAAACAAGAACACACAAAGTATTAAAAATGAATGTTTGCTCAAACTAAGTTCACTTGATGTTGTTGTCGATAACGCGATGGCATTTGAAGCGAACGGTATTGGCTTCGAGTCCCGTAGTGAACATCAACTCCGAGATGCGGCTACATGCAGCTGACGAGTCCCAAATAGGTCGAAACATGCGTCCTGGATTCCACTGCTAGCCACTATCCATCTTTGCTTATTTCGCTCAAACTTTTTTAATTTATGCATACTTCTTTGATCCAAATGTTCTAGAATCATAAGAAGTAGTAACAATAATATTTTAATTATTATTCTCAATTTGACTTCTGAAGTTATAATATACCGTTAATTAATGCTTTCACTGTTTTTATTTTTCAATTAGACGGTGTCTGAAGCTCTGCGTGAATCTTGTCTCTCTGCATTCTGTGGCAAAGCTATCAATTTCTCATAGCATCCAATAGGCAATTAATCAACTTATCGTATATATATTTATATAGGTTAATACAATGTGGAAGAAGATGGTTGTTTTTTTTACTACATAATACTCTTTCTACTGATAAATTTCATTTAATTTCAAATGGCTTTTATATCTTAAAGTCAGGTTGGCACCTACTGTTCTGAGGTGACTTTTCTCTAAACACCTCATTCTTTTCTTTTATTTTTGTTTGTTTATCCCTCTGTGTTTTAACTGATAGTTTATTTGATTAGATTCATTTTATTTAGCATGTGTGTAAAGCAGAAGTTTCTTCTTTTAAAGAACAATAAAGTAGTTATTATAATGGATATACTTAAGTATCAAATATTATTCGTTTTTAAATTCTTAATATAACTATAAAATTATTTATTAAAAAATTAAAACACTAATGTATGTGCAGTATTTTACGAAACAGATTGGTCGAAACAACAATCTGAAATCTCACATATTTTTAAAATTTTTTATTTAATAAACATAATTTTTAGTACAACTGGTCAACAAATAGAGCATGAGCCACACAAATGGAAATAACATTGTGAAGAAGTGAAGAACAATGAAGGAGTACAGTCGAAGACATAGGTGAGAAAAATAGTATACAACCAGAGATACAATTTAGTTAAACATACAATCAAGGACTTCTTTCAACTAAAGAAGTTTCTTTTTATATAAAGAATGTCAAAGAAAACTACAACAGGATTGTTCTAGGTTTCTAAACTGAACCATTTCTGATAACTAATCAACTCACTGAGTTGCATCATCTCCAGATAGATAATCTTAACTTATGATATTCATTAGACTGCAGTTACTTGTCGATGGCACTTGGTATGTTTTTCGACTTCAGTGCTCAGTCTATAGGTTGTCTCAATATGAAGAACGTTATGCTTTCCGATTATCTACTGCCACACAATAGTGGGGGGTCAATATTTGTCATCGCTGTCATTGGACCGTAGGCATTTATTTGTTTTTACAGCCATTTACACACGTCTACCGTTATTAACAATAGTATATGACTCCATGGTTTATATGAAATTACGGTTTGTGGTGAAGCACGAAGTCTCTTTTTCAATTGTGGCAGGTTCGAGCCTTTCGATGTATGAGTGACTCGCCTCCGAATGCTCCTGTTCGACTCTAGATGCTCATTACTGAGGAATCCCAAACCAGTTTGAAACAACTCATGCTCACTGGTTTTTTAGTATTTTTATGGTTGATATCGATTTGTCACACAAACTACCTTCAAAATGACATCCTCAAATACTTAGATAGTTAGATTGCCATCGTGTGTAGTTAATATATAACTGATGTATGTTCTAGAATTTGTCATATAATTAGATTCTAGTACGAGTATGGACAATTGATTTTCATTATCACTCTAATCTTGTGTTGTGCCTCTTTCATATACAACTATGACAAATGTGCGTGTGTATGATTAGGTCCCTTGAAATATATTGTCTTACGTATCATAGTGGTGGTAATATATGTTTTCTTATTTTTTGTTTGATAAATATGTGAACACACTCAATGAGAACACTGTTATTTTGATCATAGTGGTTAAAAGTGTAGAATGGATGTGTTCCGATTTCTTATAGTTTTTACCTTTTATGGTTATAATTTAAAGTCAACTACTCATTAGTCTTATCATATTCAGTTCTTAGTTGATCAGTTTCTATTAGAAGGTAAGTCTGCTGAACTGATGCATCGATATTGCCTGCATTTATATGACGAAATTGTAAATCAAACTAATACCAAATCAGTCATAATCAACATAGTCTAGTATAAACATGAGTTAAACCAACTTGCCATATTTCATCAGCACAATCGGATGAAATTAATTAAAGGAATAGCAAAAGAGTCGAGATGATAGTAGTATAATTAATAGTTGGAAAGACTGAACATTGAACAATACTTTGGACCATTGTATTTTCTATGGGATATTAATAAAGCAAATCATAATCAGTTGAATAAACATAAATCAAACGTTTACACTGATTTAATTAAAATTCGTTTAAGAAGCAAAAATTCCGACAAACAAATGCTTATATTCTTCAAGTATAATACCGGATATAGTGAAGATCACTTGGGTAACATGAATCATGGATTTGAAAAGAAAATTAGTCATTTTGTGTCCATATATCAGGATGAGCTACTTCCATCTATTCAATAAGACCAATCACTGTTGATTACCATTTCGAACTTTCATCAAGCAAACATCAGAAAAATAATTATATCAAGTGTTCGATCAGGGAGTATGTAATATATGAAATGTATTAAGTAGGAAACAGGTAAAACGGGGTGAGTACAAATAAGAGTTATCTAACATATATACAAACAAAAGCAATTATCTCAGATAAACCGGAGTTAAAGAAACACAGAAGGGGAATATGTAAGTTAGATAGGGTGATCTTATAGTAGAAGATCTGCTTTTTTGGACCCTACAACATCAGACGAAGAGTAGAGGAAAACAAGCTCCATGAACTTAATACTGTTCTGACTTAAATGTAGCACTAATTTATATTTCAACAAGTTCAAGTAAACAAGTGATGATGTAATCAATCGATCTTTTAACTTCCTGTAAATCTGTTCAGTTTACTCTTTTATTAGTCATTCAATTTATATGTAGTTGGATTAGCATAATTTTATATTTTTCGAAAATTATTTGTCTTACCTAAATTTGTCTTTTTATTGATAAGCTACACTTACTTATGTATTTGCAAACATTTCGATAATATAAATTTACACATCTTACTTAAATTTATGTAGTGAACATTGTGAAAACTAAACTGTTATATCCGGGCAAAAAATAAGTGGATAACAGTAACCGCTAGGATCTATCTGTAGACTATTATTATATATATTCTTATTGTATAACCACTAGGTACCTATATTATATGTATATTCACATTTCCTTCATTATAAGCTTTTATTTGACCTATTGACTATTACTATACGATTTATTATTCTTAAGACATTTCCAATTTATTAGTAATAGTCTCTCACATCCACAGCCACTTTTTGGCTTAATCTTGTAAAATTGTTATTTCTTATTTTATGGTACGATGAGGCCTGGTTTGTTTGCATGTAAAGCCAGTGTGTCTGATATATATGATTCATATAACGGAGGTTGATATTTGCGTTCTGGACTGAACCGGCTGGCTTAGGCGAGAAACCACTATCTCAAATAACTTTAGGCTGCTCATACAAGTATAAAGCTTAATGGTCTGGTTGTATAAGTCGGTGTCTCTAAATGGCGATATTTTCTCGTGATATATTAACAGGCCACAAGCCATAACATAAACCGTACTACTTAATTCCTTAGAACAAAAACACAATAAATTCAAGACATTTCAAGTCAATAAAGATGATTTGAAGAGGTTGACTAGCCAAATGATTTAAAGTTAGGGTAACTCATTCATTCACTTTGCTTTAAAATAAAATTGACCAAGCTCAAATCAGAATCAGTGTTTGAAATTCAAGAACATTTGTAACTAGACAATCTAATCTTCAACTAAATAACTAGTGTTGAAATTGTAGTGACCTACTTTTATGAAGAGAACGCAATTGGTATAATGGAAGTAATTATTATTATAACCAATCGTCCCAGTGATGGTTTTACTGTGCCCGTTCGTTTAAGTGTACTGAAAACATACATTCTTCCGTTGTCTGTGACCTTGCGCGAACTCGTGTACGCTCACTAGTCCCGCTTGTAAACTTTGACACGATCTCGATATTCTTTCGATACCACGAGATCGCCAACAAATACATCTTACTATAACCTTCAATTGCCTTCTGATATTTGGTCTGGTAACTGGCACGTAGTCTTCCTATAATGGTGATCATAATCAACCGCCACTCGACGCCACACTATAAAATCATAATTTCATAAGAGAAATTGGGAGTCTTTTAATAGCCTAAATGTTAAACTTTGAATAACTGAATCTCTGATTCTAACTATTTGAATTAATACATATACAACTAAAATTCAGTAAATGAAGCATGTACTCGGTTACTGAGTTATTTTAACATTTAATTGAACTCAATAATGTATATCGCTTCGAATACTATCTCCGGTGTACCAAATTTTATATTCGAGTCTTGAGTACGGAATCGTACTGCCATCCAGTATTTCAAGGTCAGATCAACTCGTGATTTCAATTGTGGTCATAAAATGAGTCAGGTAAATAAATAACTAAATGTATTTGTCTGACAATCTTTATTTTTTCCAAAAAAATGTTCATCTAAATAATAATAGTAATGTGTTAGACGAAATCCAAAACGTTAGCGAAGATTATACAGTCAGTCATATTCGAAGAGAAGAGATTGCTTCTGTATATATTTATTATTATCACTATGATTTTCATTACATTAAACATATATCGCCTATTATAATATGTTTACTTTTTTTAAAGTACAATTATTTTCCTCTACAAATTTTTTTAGATAAATGAGAAACAAATTCCCAATAATTTCAATGAATAGATAGCTAATATAATTGTTTAAGTATTATTAATATTAATCAATTCAATTAAAAAGCAAAGAAGAATGGATAGAGTAAGCAATGGAAGGTTTCAATATGTATATGCGAATCCAAGTTGTAAACTTACACATATACACAGACATAAATAGAAAACCAAAGTAATAAAAAAAAGAACGATATAGTGTTCAGAAGGAAGAAAAAATCACTAGATATATACATACACAACAACAGTATTGAGTTTAGTTGAAAGTTTAGGTAACGAAGACTCTTAAAAAAAGAGATAATAAATAAAAATAATGATTCAGAACTAAACAAAATATAACTATAAGATATATATATATATATATATATATATATATATATATATATATATATATATATATAACAGAGATAATGGCGAGGTTTATTCAATATTTTGTCTAGTTGATTAAAACAACGGATGTAATTTGGCAAAATATTGGTGTATATAATTTAATAAACATCCAATGATAAAGATTATTTGTTAATTGTGTACATAATTTGCATTTTTAATTCACAATAAAATGCATCCAAAAAACAACTAAGAAGAAACATACTGAGTATTACAGGAAGAAAAATAAAAGCTTCTTTTTTGACGACAATTTGAGAATATAGTAAGCGTAACATTGTGCGCATATATAGTGACGTAAAACGATTGTGTACTTTATTATTATTATTAAAAGTATGGTCAATCAACAGTTATCCAGTGAAAGGCGATATTATAGGTAAGACAATACTTACACACCAAAACAGATTATGTTCACTCGTCACAAATTACGCTGAGTAAGATTTTGAAAAAAGGCGCTAAATGCATATATGTAGTATCCACTATATTATATTTCCAAAAGTGTTTGTTTCCATCTGTTCAATATTTGATAATTAGGAAAAATTCAAATGGTCAAAAGTTTATTGAATTCAATACTAAAATGAAAAATAAGTAGTATGTACATACCATAAATAGAGCTGTTATATTTCGTTAAAAAAACCTCGAATAAAAACAATGAATACAAAATTAACGAAAAAAACAAGTATAGAAAGACAGAAAGTATGGTAACTTTTCTTCAGCTAGTTTCGAGAGTCTTATTTTCTTGCATAAATGTTTCATGAATATCACCATTGTCATCATCATGTTCTTTATAATGAGTTACGTTTCTCATTTTCCCATCTCTCGTTTTATTATTATTATTATTGTCAATATAACCATCGCGATTAACAATATTCACAGTTTTATGATTGATGATAGTTGAATTGTCATTCATTTCGGTCATCTTATACACAGAAGTATCAGACAAATTCATTGCTTTTTGGAATTGCGATTTATTTTCACTGTTTACTTGATTATCTGGATTATCAATATCTACATTGTCATCGTTAGTACTGTTGTTTAAAGCATCTGTATTGTCTAGCATTGAAGAAGCCGACTTTAACTCTGGAATCAAGCGTTCTACAATATCTGCAATTAATACACGAGCCACTGGTGCTTCAACACAAACTGGTGATAGACCAAGCATAGCACGTAAACGTGAAAATCTCCATTCAAGTTGTTCAGTAACAATTTGACACAGATTTGTATGTTCTTCACTTTTATGATTATAACAAGATAATTTAGTTAATCGACTAATAGCCAAATCTAAGGCTACACGAAGAGCATGAAGTGATTCGACAGCTGATCTACATGAATTTAAATCGTCTGATTGAAATTGAGACTAAAATTTTAAAAAAGTCACAAGATAAAAAAATCAATAGTGCTATCAAAATTTTTTCAAAGAAGGTAACAAAGAAAACATTAAATTTTGGTATATGTGATACGTAGCTCGCAGTCAAATCCATGGTGTGCATGTCATCTCATTTGGGACCAGTTATCTGGATGAATTTCCAACAATCGATGTGTCAAAGTTCTTTTGCACTAGAACTGTAAGAAACCTTTTCTAGTATATGGGATTAGAACCGACTGAATACCTATATAAAATACATAAGATATAATACTAGGTAATATTTGACTGTGTACTCATGTGCACGGACATATTTCATACACAAATTCTAGTCAAATCCAATCAACAACGACTTTGATAATAAAATGGTTTGAACAAGATCAACCTATATGAATGAAGCTGTCTGGAGTTTATTGATGAAGGATAAATACTTCACCTGATCTAACAAAGTAAATCTGGTTTACGCGATAACCCCAATCAGTGGTTAGTGAAGGCAAATGACACAAATTAGAATCAGTCACAATGTCTCAGATGCATTGACTGTTTATATTTCTCTAGATCTCCAGTTTCAGTATTTCTATATAAGTACCTTTTCATTCTGTCTTTTTCGAATCATACGTTTAGCCTTTCCCATTATCATTTTTTATATATTACTATTTCTATTTGTTTCCTATTCATATTGTCGTGCTAATAAGATATGTCAATTTAGGCCGACGCATATATATGCCAGGTTCCATGTAGATTATGATAGGTTGACTATTTAATCGGCATTAGTTCACCTTCAACTATGATAAAAACTGTACTTATTTAGACTGATTGAATGCTGAAATTTGTCCTCTACAGATTACTTTTAAGAATTGAGCAAGAAACGAAAAACGAAGAAGAACATAATTACTTGAAATCCAATTCACGTGGTATATACATTTCCCTTACTTAAAATCATGGATCAACATAATTAATCTATTTCAAGTAAAAAAGGTCAACAAATTTCATACAGAGGATGAGTTGGCAAACTAAGAACTAAGTAAATTGAATTCGGAAAACCGAATAACGAAAATTACAACATACTACCTAATTTGCACTAGTGAAGAGACCAAAAGACCTGATATTCGACTATTTATGTATTTGAAAAGATACACCATTGAAATGTAGTATAAAACAAAACAGCTGTCCAGTGCTCTGTGATTTTATATAATTTCTCAGTGATGGAATGAGGGAAGTTACCTTTTAATCGCTTTTACTAGTTTCAAACAGAGGGGATTCGAACAGTGAACATATATAAGTAAACATGACAAAACTAGCTTAGAATATTATCAAATCATATTGATCACTTTCAGGTTGATACATAAAAAGCGGGATGAATGGACATCTACATTCAACTGTGAGATGACAGATCAACAATTAGTTTTTCATACTGATCAACACGCAAATGCTAATCACGGTGATTTTCATGTTTGTCAGCTTACATCATATGGTCCAAACAGTTGCAAATAATGTAAAAACCGGAAAAAATATATTAGTCTAAGTCATCATGAGGTATGGGAAATCAACATGGTATAAAGCGAAAAATCAAATAGAGCAAAGAATAGTAAGAGATAGTTGACATGAAGCATTTGCAGTCTTGAGTTTACCTAAACTTATACTGTTAATTATAAATAAAAATAGATGAAGTTATTAAAATTATTATAACCACTGACTACAAAAAATTAGTTGGTATGAGCATGATTATTATTGCTTATATTCCTATCAATGTGAAAAAAACCCATTGTGATTTACCGAAGTTGAGTTTGGAGTATGTGTTGAGCTCTTGGGCACAGATTCACTGTTCATTCGACAGTTTGTCTCTTGCATAGTGGTAAGGTATTGTGAAGAATATTTTTTGACAGCAGGCAAACGATTCTTTGAATCTGAACGGCAAAAATGCAGTAATAATGACTAGTTTAACATTTATTTGACGTTCAACTTACAAACGGTATATATATATAAACACAAATAGTGCAAAGTTGATCTGATTAAAATATTTGGGCCATCTAATTTTTTATTGAAATTGTGAACCGATCAATGTTAAACGATCAGTGAAAGCCTGGAAGCACTGGACGACCGTTTCGTCCTAGTATGGGACTTTCCAGAAGAGGGTATCCGCGATCTGGAACGCGGTCTAGCATGCGAACACTTAAGCTGTAGACCAATGAGTCGGGATACAATGGTGTTGATTTCCAAATGAAATCGATCTTTGTGTAGCCATCTTTTATTGTCTCTTCTCTTTTTTAATGGTACAAATATTAAAATTAATCCATGTTTTAAATTTATTTGAACTCAATAGTTATAGATGTTAACTGGATGTAGACATGTTTTATCGTAAAAGGTCTGTGATGGTAAAAACCAGAAAACTCAAACACTAAAACTGCCTATCTTTAGAAAAAACGAAAGACAAAACTACGGGATTCATACATCTCATATATGAAAGACGAAAAATAGTTGTAGCAACCAAACTGATAGAAAATCCTGTTGATCGTAAGCAGTTAGTAGATATTGAATATTTAAAAAATTCTATGAAAAATATTTTCAAATAATTACAATATCAATGTATGAAATTTGTTGCAATATTGGACAATCGGTGAAGAAAATTCCTTACTCTATTGAACTACGTTGTCATTATGCAACGACTAGGTTACGAGTGAATATTCCAAAAGTGAAAAATTGAAAATTACTCAAATAAATAATGCCGTCACAGAAACTGAAACGAATATAACGAGTCTACATATTTTAAGTTGTCCGTTAAAGTGCTAAAAAAACGTTTCACCACTAAAATGAAAATGTGAACTTGATTTAAGTGAACAAAAAGCAAAAGAAGGAAACATTCAGTGAATTAGGAGAAAATACATAGCTAAATCACATGTAATCATCAGTAATTGAAGAAATAATTAAGATTTCAAAACAGACCACTCAGTGCTCCTTTCTTGAATGATATGGTAGTTGACAAAATCAGACCGTAATAGAAATTTACGAAAATATTTGAGATTAACTAAGAGTTTTCTGTATAAAAAAATTGAACGAGAATCGAGATACAAAGAAATAGTATATAGGAAAATGGACAAACACAGTGCAATAGTGGGACAATGGGAAAGACTTTTTGAAAAAGAGGACGCTCTACAAGTGCAGAAATGATTGAACATAAATCTAACTACTTATTGTCTGTAATAAGTAATATGAATCAATACACGAAGAAAAACAAACGGAATGAAGTAATGGGGCATACTATCACAGAAAGAAGACAATTGTATTTATTAATGAGATACTCTGGTTTGAGTTACGAACATGTGTGAACCCTGATGATACTAGCCAACAGTAAGAACCGAAGTAGGAAAAGCAGGAGTGTCACGTTCAATGCAGATTAATACCATCAGACTACATACATTTGTGCAATATGACTGAAAAATATTTTGTTATTATATAAACAAGATCACAAAGTACAGTTCTAGTTAAATTTTTATTGCATAAATTCGTCTGTCAAAAACACGAAAAATGCACAAAAATAGTTTATTTAACCGTAATATCACATTCATTAATGGCGGCCTGCTTGAGCATCTGGGCTACCTGTTCCTGTCATCTAGATATTTCAACAAGTTATCTATTGTTGTTTGTTTTAATATATCATTATGTTTATTAATCGCATAACCTATTCTGCTGCATTTCTGAAAAGTGTACTACCTTTCGTTGACAAAGTTACAGAAAACTCAATAAGAGACAATATGGTTGCTGGCAATGTACAACGAAAAGAATGTACATTATTCAGTTGTTCATTCACTGAAGTGCTAACATCTAACTGGCGATTCCTCAATATTTATCGCCAGGACCGACCAAGAAGAAAGAAACGGAAACTTGTTGAAATACTTTGCGCTGAGAATTCTATATTGTACCAAAATTATAATATTGAATAAAGCTAATAATAATAAGTGACCTAGTATCTACAATGACAATTGAGAACCAAAATCGAAACATCAAATGATCAATGCTATTTATCAAGAACGAAGGGAAAAATAGAATTATCATGATAACAAAACGATGAATGTAGTATATATTCAAATGTGTCCATATACCAGATTAAAATGTGTGCCGATTCGATTTATTGAAAAGAGATTTTTTTGCAAACAAAAATCAATACGCATAACAAAAACCTAATTGAGATTAGGGACAACTGAACTACCTTTTTAAGGAAGTTATCTATAAAATGTGTATGCGTGTAGCATAGCTAAACAATAAATATCAGTATACTGTATATTGTAATAATATACAACATTATACATATAACCAATTGCAGTTGCTTTCTTGATGTGGTTGTCAGGATTGCATATCGTGATAACTCAATCGAGCCATGTTGGCTGAAATACATGTGTCTATCAAGTTAGGCAGGTCTGTTGGAAAACGGCTAAACAAAACACAGTAGACGTCAGGTCTAAAAGAGAAGTGACACTGTCGTTGGATGGAGAATGCTGGTGGGTGGCTTCTGCTCCTCCACGAGGGTAATAGGCATACGTAAGTAATAATTCCCAGAACTATAAATGTTTGTGCAACATCCTGGATTGATTGAAGTTAGATATTAACATCATCGGATTCTGGTTCAATGGTCTAGCGGTAAGGTGTTCGCGCACGAAACGGGAGGTACTGGATTCGATTTTTGTGCGGGGAATCGTGGATGCCCATTGCCAAGTAATTCCATACTGAAATGAAACAACTGTTCCGTGCAGCCAGGTTTTCAAGGGTGGTCTAAATTAGGTCGTTTCATGACTTCAATGAAACTCATTAATTTCCACCACCCTATACTTATAAATGTATAGTAAGTTTTGCAGAATTTAATATTATATAACTTTAGAATTTGACCAATCGGTTTTAAGATGGCGTGCGCAACATCTATTTATTTGCATACACCTACACATCAAATCAGTGTTTATTATTTATTTAACTGCTTAAAATTAAAAAAAAACTTGCCATGATAATTTGATGATGATATTGATGACATCAATAAAGCCTTTGAAGTTATATCCACCTAAGTTAGTGAAGAATATTGAAAAAAAACAGAGGAACTAGAAATGTTGAAAAAAATTCTTTTCCATTATATACAAAATAAGTATCACAAATATGAATATATAATTTTGTTAAGTCCTAGTAAAAAACCGTATATTTAACCATCCATTTCGGTCTAGCGACATTGTATACACACCTTTTCTCAAATATCGTCGTTATTTAGTAGTTGAATATATAAAACACACACATATAAGATGTATGCTACTTTTCAATATTTCATTGTCTGAAATTAAACGGTAAAAACTAGAGTGGAATATTAAAAATAAAAAATACAATAGCCAAATACAAGCATTCGCGTGCTTAGTTTAACCTCATGCTTACTAAGACAGCTACATATGAAATACATGATTCCTTGAACCGAAACAAAACATGAAAAATGGTTCGAAATAATTGATCTAACTGTCGAAGATTTAATATTTGTATTGTATAGCCATACGTAATATTTAATCACATTTATTCCGTTCTACACCTCTATACATCACAAATAGATTAAAACACTAATTATTCTACAATGAACTGTTCAAAATGTTTAGACTGTTAGTATATTCAATGACATGTCAGCTATGTGACCAGTAGTTATCACATAATCATATCCAAATAAATCATTTTGATAATTACTAACAGTATTCAACTCATCATTTAACAACAGATAGGGAACATAACTAACCAAAATTCATTAATCTTTGTTATTATTATTATTATTAATAAAAGTAACACAAAACCTACAGATGCACGCAAATCCTTCGACTGATTACGCTGTTGACAACGATCACCATAATTGTAATTCAAAGCATGAATTGTATTTGTATCATCAAGAAAATGATGTAAACTATTTGTTGAATATAGATTGACAGAATCATCAACAATTGTAGAAGGAGGAGGATTGTGTTGTTTAGGAGAACTGTAATTTAGGAGGGAAAAATGTGGAAAATATTTATATTTAGACAAAAGATAGGAAACTATATGATGTATTTGACTCAATCTTTATAATAAAAATGAAAAATGAACAGAAAAGTTTTCGAAGTGAAAAAAAGGAAAGAGAAATGAAATAAGAAAAGTTTGAAAGATATTAACCTCTCTTTATTTGTTAATTTTTCAGTATAAATAACTGAAACAACTAATTTTAAAAAAAACTGAGCTTATAGAGATGAAAACAGAAAAAATTACAATAAAAAAATAAATTAAAACATTGAGACAATGGTTAATTAATGAATTCCATTTATTGACACATCACTGAAAATAAAAATGAAGGTAGATTGGTTAGAAGTATAGTAGTATACGAATAATAATAATAATAAGAGAGAGAACACAAAAGAGAAATGATTAAGTTATGTGACTTAGAATGATAGAAATAAGAAATAGGATATCGTTCATTATTAACTGAGTGTCACTTTCGACAAATGATAAAATCACAGTTGATTTAATTTAGTCAAACAACAGAAAAATGTGAGTTATCATAAAGATTCTTATTTATCAAACAAACGTTTATTGTTATAACAAATCAACAGTTTCCCTCTATCACCATTGTTACGGAAAAAGTAGACAAAATAACAATACATCGCTCGCTTTTTTAAGTCATTATTTGATACATAAGTACGAGTGAATAATTCAATAAAATAATTAGTTATAGATAAACAACTATTCTGTAACAAAATCATATTTACGTTTGCAATAGTACAGTTTGAATGGAGCTAATACACATACGATAAAATTGTTAACTATCAAAATTTTTTTATTCATTCTAAAAGTGTATTCAGGTAGCTGAGTTGATTTGTGGAATTTATGTTAAGTTTCAAAGTGGATTTCTTTATGAAAAAGTTGAGGAATACTGCATAGTTAGTTAACCCTAGTTTTGAATGCCTCAATAACATGCACAAATGGTCCCACAAGAGTCTGAAACCAGGATCCAAAGATGGAGTGGAGGATAAGATGAACTTGAACGCTTTTTGGTATGTGTGTATGCGGTTCACTTCTCGGTTGACTACACTCTGTGAGGATACTTTCCCTGGATCTGATAAGGAAACTGGGTTGTTTGATCTAAACGATCTGATAGAGTGACCGCAAAGTCTTATGACCAATTGATGTGTTTAGCGACAAATTGTTTTTTATTATTTCGAAATAAGTCCTAGATTAGTAAAAACAAGAAGAGTATCACCAGTAGTAGGAACGATTAGATACAGACAATTTAATTTGAAAAGAAATTCATTGGATAAAAAGAATAGAATAGTTTTAAAACTCAAGATTTAAAGCAAGACAGAGTGAATATGTGTGCGTCAATGCAATCTATCCTGGACCATGTCACTTAACATTTTCAACCATTGGTTATGATAATCGTGCAAACGAACCAACACGAATCAGCCTAACTATCAGTGACTCTATGGACTGATGTCATGTCATATTCTAAATTTATACTGTGTATTGAATAATTCAGGAAAAAAAAACATAATAATTCAGAAGCACAAAGATAAAAACATCTAATGGTATTCTGGAACTACAAGATAGAGTTATTTTAATATTTCGATGGTTACGAGTTAAAAAAGATAAATTATAAATTGATGGATACACAACTGACAAATCACTCCCCATTATTATTATTATTATTAGTAGTAGTAAAATCAATTATAAATAAACCAAAATATAGTGAACCAATCCATCGATAATAACAATAAAATAAGGTTAGTTAAATTGGTAATATTAATGTATGTATGTGCGGTTACTGCATGAACACACAAACACATATTCCAACAATCAGTATCAGAATATACCTAACAGGAAACCAACTGGCACGAGATCGAACATGACGTCGTTCTTGAAGTTTGACTTTATTTCTACAAGATATTTGGATAATATAGGATAAGAAAAATTGAAATCTTGAGATATATTTACAGGCATTATTTGATTCAATATAATGGGAAAGTGACTGTATCATTTGGTAATTAAAAATCGAATCAGTTCAGATATTGAAACTTAATCAATTTTTCTTTAATTTAATAATTTTTTATGTCATTCGTAAATATGTGAAAATGGAAGTGGTGAATAGATGAAGGAACAATAGTATTTCGATACACCGTAAGTTTCAATGACAACTATTCAACTAGCATCAATACATCAAGGAATTCACTTTTGAAAGTATCCGTAATCCTAACTTCCAAATGGCTATGTAATGAACGAAGACGTGGTTGGAGCAGACCAATTTACTGTATTATAAAAAATCCTACACTGTATTTTTAAAATATGGGAACAACACAGTGAATACACCATTTACTCATCTTCCTTAAAGTGTGTCGTAAAAACTCCATTGTTTTTTCATTCCTGTTGACATTTTGATTGCTTTCTGTTCTTCTTCCTGTTTTCATTTTACTCTTCTGTCCATAAGAATCTTACTTCCGATTCCTGATATATAATACTTATTTCTGTCCGTATAAGTAGCACACACCAGAATTATACAATCTACTCACAAAAAAAGTTTAAGATGTAGACAGAAAGCCTTTTTTCCTTTTTTATTTCTTTCTAGTAAACTTGAAATAACTTAGAAAAGTTAAACTGACAAATGATATGGTTTGTGAAGATAAGATATTATTATGTACATTTAAACTGATTAGAAAATGAAAACTTTGATCAATCAACGGAACTATAAATTGTGAACAGATAAATATCTACTGTTTAGAAAACGCAATATTGTCACCGAACTTGAATAATCCTTTAAAGAAAAAGATGACTGAAAGCAGAAAACCATCATCAAACATCTTTTACTTCAAAGAGACCGATTTTCACAAGTGAAAAGCAAATTAATTAAATTAACAAGAGTAATGAATCATTCAACAATAAACTAACCGAATAAACTTGAATTAAATCAAAATTGTACTCACTAACCCCCACCATATATATACACGAAGTAAGTGACTGCAAATGATGAAATTATATAAGTTAACCAATAATTTCACTAATAAATGTCCCGGAAAACTGGGTAAAAATAGCGAAATCCTAATATGTTTATTTACTAAATAAAAAGTACGACTGACAGCTATGACTATTCAAGTCATTGAAAGCTTGATACTATGTGAAAAAATGCTGCAGAATTCTAAAACAAGACGAAAAGACTCCCAAGTAATCTGATAAGCTGGACAGTATTCTCGAGTTTTCCAATATTCTTTATTCATCAGGTACATAATTTGAGTAAATCAAATATTTAAAATAGATCCGTCGGGATATTCAATGATGATTTATATTAATAAACACTGAATAATCAAGAATGTAGGTAAAGATCAAAATAAAAACCACAGATCCTTTACATCTCTTTGTTGTATAACGTTAACTTGCAATATTTACGCATCGTTATGATTATGCATTAGTGAATTAGAAAAGCCTTCAATTATAATTGATTGCAATATAGTTCAGATGATAAGTATCATAGGATTATAGACAATGTAAAAAACTATTGCTTTCCATATATAGACACGAAACAATGGTCATTGTAGCAAGATATCCATGCACTGTATGACATTTAAAGCAATTAAACCTAATTAGGCTGGAAAAAGGTTATTACCGCTTAGTAAAAGGTGGTGTTAAATATTATGAAATACAGCAGCAGAAAAATAAAATGAATAAGAGAGAAGATGTAATGAAAAGGAAACAATCAACGGAGGTACTGTGGAAAAAGAACAACGCTGTGTGAATACAAGAAGAGAACTAAAAGTAATGTTTCTAAGCAAGAAAAGTTGGAAACTGAGTTGTTCACTCAATAAAACAAATGAGAGGTAGTTAAGTCCAAATATTAAAGAAACTTTAATTTGTTCAAAAATAAAAATGATAAAATTCTGGATAATTAGAAGTAACAACAGTGAAAAGTATCATAAGCCAGTAAAGGTTTGTAATTTATTTAGCTGTCAGTTGTCTACATGTAATAGATGTATTCAAGTAAACTTTGATTGATGCTACTACGTGGTGTGTATAATCCTACTGGGTAATTTATGATGCTATTGGACCAATCAGCATAAATCATTTGACGAGATTCATCGTTATAATTTAGGTTAGTTAAAAATATACATAGAACTTTACCTAAATAACTAATCTCGATCACAGACCAGATGTAATTTTCTAATATTTATGCTGTTCAGACTTGTTGTGCTAATCAATCCATTCTTTATTATCAAAACAAGTCATTCGGTTATATCAGTAAGAAGATTCAGATCAGTCAAGATATCTTACTTATTCCCATTTGTTGTTGAACAAGATGAATTCAGAGTGTACAAAAGTAATCAATTCTTGAAAAAAATATTACATAAAATATGAAGAAAAAATGGAAAACTACTTTAATCAATAAATTAGAAATTTAAGAAAGAACATTCACAATCGTCCGTATCAAATATAAACCTGTGTGAATAAAGCTCCACAAAAGTGTAAATTTCATATATCTAGTGCTGTTGAAGGATAAATCGCAGTGATTCTGTAGTATGTACCTCATTCTTTTTACCACTGGTTCGATTACACTTCATTTTTAACTGCAACTAGTATAGTATCGGTTAAGTTAGTCAACCATAGGACAGTGCCCTATACTGTTTCGTTCAAACATTGATTATTCGTAAATTACTTAAGTGTAAACTCGATTCAACAGTACAAGGAGTCAATCATAAATGAGTTATATCGATAACAACGTCACTGACTACAATTGAGCTAAGTGCATTTGTCTGTAGATGAAACAGATATTTCGGAGTTTCTACAAGAATCTAACAGACTGAACGCCAACGAAAATAAAACACAGAATAACCAATACTTTCTGCTGATTTGATTTAACTATCAATGTTAGTAGAATACATTCTAATGAGATTGAGTGTAAATGGTTATATTGACAGCTATGTTTTACTCATCCTCTATCAATTTTGACAAATATTCCCGTTTGTTATTGGTTGTGATTTCGTATTTTCTGTTTGATAAAATCGAACAAATTGAAGCTGAACCAATGTGCTTATGAATGGTGAATCTGAGTATTAACTTTTTTTGAGAATATTCTTACTTGATAAAAAAAACACAACATAATCTCATACCTTGAAGGAATTAGTTGCGTAGCTGAATAAGATCGTTGTTGAGATGATTTATTTTTAGGTCTGTTAAATAATGGCAATGCGTTCGGACAATCTCCACCAGTAATCGACTCATTCATTATTAGTCGATTAGCACAAACTTCATAGGTATGTGTTGGTGGTGTGAATTGTTCTAAAGCCTGAATACAGATGAAGAAAGAGAGACAATAAAAGAAAAAAGTTATCCTATTTTCGAATACTTTACAATTGATCTAATCGATATGAAAATTATTTAAATTGTTTGATAAAACTGTTTTAATATGAAATAGAGTGAACAACCCTCTGGGAAATTAGAACTCAATGATCAGGTAGAGATTTATGTCGTCAGCTTAAAGCTACACTTTCTATATGAGCGCAATTGATTTTGACAACGTTAGTCGAAGTATAATATGTGAAAATTGACATTAAACATCAAGTACTTGTTCCTGAAGTTTTTATCATGCCTTATACAGAATTTACATACAGAATACAATAAAACTTTAGTTTTCACCGAGTTTTTCAATTAATTATAAATATTGATATGGTGAGATTACCTCATCATACTTAAAAAAACAATGCTCGACAGAAGTGACCAAACAAGAGTAAGAAACAGTTAAGAAATGTTTTCGTGAAAAAAGGTTATCTTTAAGATAGTGGGGAAAATTAGTAGCTTGGGAGGATGATCTTAATGAAGATGTATTATTTGAGTTGAGCGGTTTAACTGTACAGCATTGTTTATCCTCCTAGACAACATCATAAGCAAAAGGAAGTAATCTATTAGAATTTAACTATAGATGACTAACAGCCGGTTTTGTTGACAATAAATATGAATGGCTGTTGCCAATACTTGTTGTAATATTGCCTCCATTTTTATAAAAATATTTACTAGGCGGAACCAATTATTTATTAATGTGTGAACACTGACTTCGTTGACCTTTAGACTGTTAAATAATACTATATAAATAAGAATATAATCGAATATTTCTATGATAAAATAAAGTCAATGCATGTTTCCTATGTTTATTTTTTAGAATTACAATTCACTAATTGAATTGAAAAAGAATGAGAGAGACTTTAAAGTTTAGACTCTCATTATTATCACTTACAAATTGAGTTCGAAATTTCTGAAAACAAAAATATCGCTAATAAACAGTGATCTTTATTTTGAGTAAATGAGCCACGTTTGGTTATAGATCGCCTGACGGGGATCCAGTTCTTATGTAGTTTTACTGTTATTTTTAGTATTTACTTTATATAAGTAGTGAAAAAATCAATTATATACACAACAATCCTACATCACTACACGTAAAATCAAATATTCGTTTAAGAACTAACCAAATCCTTAGGTCTATTTTGAGCAGCGACTCGATTGATGAAAGATGTTTCCACAGTCTTTTGAGTAGGACAAAGTTTTTTTACAGAACTGTCAATTATCTTCCGTGTTCTTATAGTTGTAGTAGTCGTTGTTCCTGATGTCACTGGTGTTGTTGTTATCATATTTCGTTTATTATCTACGCTATAAACATCTTTTTTCCAAGAACGAGGTGTATCCGGAGCAGAAACAGCACGTGTAAACCAATTGTTTTTTCTTTCATGAGTTATTTGTTCATTACAATTGATTTCATCATTCTGATTAAAATTAAAATATTCTCTAGTGTTGTATTCTGATCGAGACATTTGTGAATAAAGTGTATGATTATGGTTATTGGTTGAGATTGTCGATTGGGAAACAGATAATGATACAACAGTAGTAGTGGTAGTACTAGACACTGGTGTTAATATATCCTTTTAGTAAAAGAAAATGTGCATAAGAATAGAAAAATTTTCTTGAGAAAATAAAATTGAAAGATAACATTTACGATATTAATATAAGAGTAAAGGAAATACATTGATTATTGTCTAATAGATATTAACCATAATACAATGATTCTGTGTTACGATCATTAAGTTGGTAAACCTAATTTCAAAAAATTAATCCATAAACTCACTGTTACTTTATATACTACTTACTAATAACATTATTTAGAACAAAAATTTAAATCATTCAGCATAGAGTAACACAAAATCATTAAAGGTATCCATTTAAACTACAAACTGTCATCATCAACATTATTTCATGAAATTTCCTAATCATCTGAAACAGTGACTTAGAATATTGAGAAATACAAATTAATCATCATTGACAATTCAGATGATATTTTAATCCCAAATATGTTTTACATGATTGTTGAATATATATATATATATATATATATATATATATATATATATATATATATATATTAGAATAAATAATATTGTGTGAATATCAATACCAATGTTTGACTTGACCAGTTCGAATCACTGAATTGGATATCAATGAAATATTGTGTTATATTTGTAAAATTCTAATGAGTTGTAAAGTGAATTTTAAATGCTTTATAGCTCAGTGTAAGTCGTTTCTTCAGAGAATAAATAAATAATCGAATTAGACTAACACAAGTTTAAATAGTACAAAAGAACAAAGCAAAATAAGTAGTACAATCACAATAAACCTGATCAACTCAATTCCATGTTACTCGGTCAAGGTGATCCTATGTAAGACATGCTTGTGTACTTGTATGTTAGTGGGTGTGAAAAATGCAGTATTTGTAATGTCAAGAAGTAGGGTTAAATTTGTATGTTTGTGTAACGGTATGAGGTGTGAATAGAAGTAAATATAGCTGTTTGGATAAATAGTCCAAGTTTTTTTTATTTTCTATTGAGCTCAGTAGAGTTTAGCAATAAACGAAAAGCTTCAACGACTTTCTTTATAGTAGGAAAAACCTTTTGATATTTTACATACCAATTTATTGATTATTAAAGAAAAATATGTACCACTATTGACGGTTTATTTGGAGCTTCTAAAGTTCTATTCGATTATTAGGTCTTTTTTGTGTAGTGTAGATGTTCCTTGGTTCAAGTCAAAGTTTCATAAGATAACTCTCTAATAAAGGTGTCACAATCGACACAATCTAATATACAGACAAAATTCTGTGTTGAAGCGACCTGATTAAGCTTATTTTGGTTGTACTATGTATTTTTTAGTGTTAATTCAACTCGACTATTTATTTGTTCTATGAAGAAGTGAACTACACTAAGTCACGAAACGTGAGAAATTCAATTTTTTACTCATTAGGTCATTGCAAATATATTATGATTTTTCACTGCATTCTTATGTATGATAAAAATTTTCAAATAATCAAATAGTTCTTGATAGTTTAATCAAAAAAGTATACATGGTGGTAAAAGTAATTCACAACAAAATGCATCAATTTTTGATTTACTTGTATGAGTTGTTGGTGTTATGAATTGGAATATATTATTCTCTATTGGCATATGCGTGTACTACATATAAATCCCAGCTACTAAAGAGCTCTGCTTAAAAATCACTTAGACTTAATAATAGTATCAAAGCAATCTGTTAAGATTGCATATATGTTGAAAAAGACTGATCAATTACAATCCTTAATATCAACAACAGGAAGAAAAAATTTTGGGAAATGAGTTAGAAATTCATGTCTGTTGCACAAGCTATTGGCTATCTAGACTCAGTAACTTAGTCGATAACGAGATAGGCGATTGGAGTCAATGGTACTGAGTCCAAGTTTCGCTGTGAATATTATCACTAGGTGCAAACATATTCACCTGACGGGCTCCAAGCAGGACGAGACGCAAGTCGTAGATTCCGATGCTAGCGACCATTAAACTCTGTTGAAAACATCTACTTCGAACTTATAGCATCAAATGATACAAATATTTAAAATTTATCATGTTAATTACCACTTTGAAAAATATTCAATTTCACGAGGGAAACAAGTTACTTTCAAATCAGGACATTTGTTGATCAAATAAAATTTCTCTGTTTATTATAATCGACTGTATGTACTCCAAGAATACAAACTATACTGGATCGTAATTATGATTTTTAATAGTGAATAACAAAGAATTTGAAACTTATTACCAAATAAATAGACTAGATTATGTTGAAAAAAGGATTTATTTCTTGACAATCTCTATAAAATCACCTGGTAAAAATTAACTGTCAAATAAGTCATTTTGGAATTTGTATATCACATGCGAAAACTTTAATTTGGCTTTCTAGTTACTTTATTCTTAGTAGATGATTGTCAAAGTCATGCTAAAAAATATCAACAAATGTTCTCTTATGTCATCAGATTTAACGACAACACATATTTTCCTGTGTTGATTCATCATTTTAATTTTTAGGCGAACTGGAGTAGAGAATAATACAGAGCAGTGTGAGCGTGAATTGTTGTTTATTGAAGTACTCAGTCGAATGAAATAGCGGTAGTACCACCGTATAAGAGATTTGTTAGCCAATACTTTCAATAAAACTATTTGTTAAAATGATGTTAACGAGTCACAAACTATTTTTACAAGCACAAATTATCTCCTTACAAGGCTCCGTAATGAGGTAGCCTAATAATTCAGGTGTACGACTTTTAACCACTAAGTCCCACGTTCAAACCCCGCTCCAAATCCTTCGGTTTGGGCGACCGGATTGTATCATAATGCCTCATGCTCTAGTACTAGGCGCTTTGAATGTTCACCCAGCTACAAACCTACGATCTAAATTTATATACGGTTCAGGAATTCCTCGGACAAGTTAAACTTCAGTATAGAAAATCAAAAAGAACATATTACTTACTCTATCCAATCCTTGTTACGAAGATTAACAAAATTTAATGGAAATGCACTGTTTATTGGTTTTCATTATAAAAAAAAATTTACTAAAAATAATTATGTAGTGAAATAATAACATTATTAAACTGACTAACTTTTTCAGAAATGTCTTCAGTTGATGTTTTGCAGCGAACACGAGTATATTTTGATCTTCTCTTTGTTGCTGTGACTGATGACGACAATGGATAAACATAGTTAGGTACTGTTTCATGGGAACAGGAACCACTAGTCGATACAGGCAATATTGGACCACTTACTACAGAGGTTTGACTAGCTGAATCCGATCCATTCACATCAAACTCACTATTCAAAACCTAAATAATAAAAAGAAGCTACTATACAGACAGACCAAATTTGAGAGAGAAAAAAGTTTAAAATTAAATCAACAAAGATCTAGGAAAAACAATAATAACTACAAAATATTTTGTCAAGTTAATATACAAATTGATGTACATGATTATAAAATTAACCCGTAATTAATTGGTAACTTTCAAAACTATGGGTTAGTAATATATTGCTTAACCAAGCAATATATTTACACTTTGTTATGATCTGTGCTGAAAATGAGGTGAAATGGATGACCAATGATTATACGAGTATAAATACAATCGAATTTATTGTAAACTAAAATAAACAATGATAACAATGATAACATTTCAATAATCATCAATAACGAATACAGAATGAAAAAGACATTTCACAAAACAGAGATTTTCATGCTGAATGTAATGTGTAGATGAATACTAAAAAGGACAGAAGGAAACCATGGTAACAAGTGAAGCTTTTATAATTTGCTAATCATAATGAACTTTATAAAGAAAAGATAATTATTTGATTTCTAACAACAATAATATTAAGATGATAATAGGAGCTGGTTTGTATACGTACATGCAGCATTTAATCGTAAGCATGATTAATATAGTGCATTATTATTATGCAGCTAAATTACCAGAAACAAAAAAAGTGAGAACAGAGACCATACAGAAAAACAACAAACTATACGCCTCTATGTAACGTAGGTCATATCATTCAGTTACTTACAAAATAAAAAATAAACAATCTAAATATGTGTAACAATGATCTGGGTTTGGTTGCATACACGCATATGCAAAAGAAGAAGAATGCTAAAATGTCACACGATGGAAATGAACAACACAAAGCAAAAGAAACATAAAGATATGTTTATCACCTGTGTCAAAGAGGTTGGGACAATGGTCACTGATTCACGACGACTCAGCTGAAGATATATACATTGAATGAATTGATAAAAGTTAAACGGTAATAGATTAAAATAAGAAGGGCCGAAATATATATATACATAAATATACACTAATTAAATGAGTTCAACGACTAAATACACTGATTAGAGTTTAACATTAGCACTGGCGGATCCCGGCTCAGCGGTCTAGAGGTTAAGCGTTCGCGCGCCAAACTGAAGGCACTAAGTTCGAGTCCTACTTCCGGGGTCACGGATGTGAGCTGCCGAATAGTCTTACAATAGGATGAAACTGCCGTGCCATTCAAAGTCTTTACCCATTAAGTACGATAATCACGCATACTTCAAACAGGTAGTCTCCACTTACCAACACGGTCAATGTCTCCATCGACTAGTGCCTTGGTTTGGTTACCCCTATTTTCTTCTAACCTGATTCTAAACCAAAAATCATCGCACTCTGAGGCAGTCGATGGATGAGTATACGTATTATATGTCTTTATCATTTTATTCGACAAATATTCACTATCTTGTCAATTGGCTTGCTATAGTTACATAATACTATATGTCTAACCTCAGAATTGCTAACTCAACGGCCCACAAGTATACGAGCAGTGCCTCGAAAACACCTACGATAGGGTATTAATTATCTACGAATATCTATTTCTAAAGACCATATTCCACAGCCATAAAGTAGAACGGAGAACACTTAGGCAGTAAACTGGTCGTTTAATTAGCGAACGGATTACTCGCTAAAAGCTAACTAGGGTTTCTAATCTCATGTTTAGATGACGTTTTAATCGAAGACAATTCCACTGTTCACATTTAGAATAGCAAAAATAATACTGATTACACATATATATAAGCTAAAAAGTGAATATTTGCAATCACACACACATATGATGTATTTTATATGAACTTAAAACATTAAAGTAGTTGCAACAGAATGATAGTTTCTAAATTTAATCTATTACAATATCAGTATCAAGAATAAATTGAAAAAAAAACAGAAAAATTGATTAGTGGCTAAAACTAGAAGGAGATTTTCAAACTCGCTGGGTTATAATATAGTAATTTTCAATGACTTGGAATGACTAATTAGAAGTTAGTTTTCAAAATGAATTGATACCAACTGAGAAAATGGTTAGAAATTAAACAGTATCCGACGAATGTTTTATCCTAGTTTTGGACCTCTCAGGTGTGATCAATCACGACTCCACATGGGGGTTTCAGCTTTAGGTATTCATGTATGGTATATCGTTTGCTGCTTCTGTCATTATATTTCAGGGAAATTTTGAGAGAAAAAAACCAGAATCCAAGTTTACAATAAGTTCCCCATTCCACCTCAGGTGCTCTTATATAGCTGTAAGTTCACAGCTTGTTACAGGCTGTTTCCATAAAGCTGAAAGAGCGGAAGCTAATATCCAGCGATTGCATCAGATTAACGGATACAGAGGGTTGGAAAACTATAATTCGAGATCAGTTGTTTTCAAAACATGGTACATAGAATGTTCATTTGGATTATTTTGCTAAAACCCACATAATCTTTAAAAGTATGTCCATACAACATCAGTACCTAGATGATAAATATTAATAATACTTCGAAAAAAATATCATAAACATTATTTATATTACCTTTCTCCGCGCCCAAGCCGGAAGTGCGCTAACACTAAAATAGAATTCCGGCTTCTTTCCTCCACTACGATTACTACTACTACTGCCATTATTATTTTGATTGACAGAATTTGTAACTGTACTACTACTACTATTACAAATAGTAGCAGTGGTAGCGGAAACTTGAGCTTTAATCAAGTGATTGGCAGACAAAATATTTTTATTATTATTGCTACACCAATTAGGTGAATTGTTCTCACTGCAAAAAGATGTAAGAAAAAGAAACGAAAAAATGAAATATTTTAACGAACTAAAATAGAAGCAAAATCATAAAATACAACGCAAAAAGTACCGACTAAACCAAACTTGGTGAATAAGTCCTGAGAGAAGTGGAGAGTTCTACATACTTGGGAAGCATCACTGGTAAACAAGGTAGGAGGTACTGGGTTAGAACCTTCAGCGTACTGTGGCAGGAAGTCATATTTATTTCAGTGGTTAAAATTTTCTTGTTAGATTCACAAGATGAGCTTTAGAAAAAAAAAGCTGGTTAAATATTGTGAAAAGAGAAAAAATATGATTCAGGTCTGTTCACTTTTTATTATGTATTTGGTAATAAAAGAGTGATTTTCTTTAATTCTTAAAACTCATAAATTAACGTTGTTGACTTGTTCAAAATTAAATCAATTAGTCACTATTAATATATGTAATCGGCTTTGATCTACATTCTTTTTGTGTGAGTCCTAGTGATACTTTCTCTCTTTGTTGCCTAAACTGAATTAGTTGGAATGAGACTGGAAAATTGTAACCTAATGGTTAAAAATTGAGTGGTTAACCAGTAAACCAATATAAGTATCTTTTAAACACCGTTGAAGGAAACAGTACGATTATAAATTGATTACCGTAGAAGTTAAGCTTAGAGTGTTAAATAGAGATAGTATGTCAGTTACACAGGGAACGAGTGAGTTGACTAGTTGTTACGCATATTGGGATTAGGAGAGGAATCAACTGGTAAAAATCTGAAGCTGCTAAAACAAGATACGATATCAGTCCGTCAAGTTACTTTTCGATCACAAAACTAGTAATTTGACGGCTTTTTAGTACTGATCCGATCAAAAAGTACTTTATTCTAGAAGAAAAAGAATACAATAAAAGCGATTCAAAATAATAGTCAAAGAAATTAATGACAAATTACTTACTCGACAATAGATTTATGTTTCGTTACAATATGCTTATTCATCAAATGATTCATTTGGATAGTAACAGGATTTGTAACATTAACTGATAATACATCATCTAAAGGAAACGCATCAAATTCACTATCTTCACCATGATTATCATCATCGTCAGCATTACCACCACCAATATCATCATCGGCATTCTCATCATCATTATCCAAGTTTTCAATTTTATCATATTCTGCAAGTGATTCATTCCATTCAGATGGAGGCATTGTTTGACTAAATGATGTTACATCGTCATCATCATCACCATAGTTATCGAGATCATTATCATCGTCAACATCATTCTCATATTCATTCATTTCACTGCTGTATAACATACTGTTACAATCATTTAGAACATCATCACTATTATTATTACTGTTGCTGTGTTTACTAGTATATTTTCGAGATGTTATATTTCGATTTGTATCAACATCAATATTATCATTATCATCATTATGAATATGATAATAATCGGAACGATTAATATTAAACAAATCATTATTATCTTCTCTACCAGTTTTTAGTCTTGCATTTGTTATTTCTAATGGAATTCCGTCTAATTGAGGATAACTAATCGAATTGCCTAATATATTTTTCAACATACTTGATGTAGTGATACGTTCATGTAAATATTGTGCTAAATTTGTTGATAAACGCCAAACAAATATACAACTATCAGCGCTAACCGATATTAAATAACGTAGATTAGGTAGAAATTTTAAGCCTAAACACAATTCTGAATGACCGTATAATGTAGCAATTGATTCACCCGTGAGTAAATGAAATAAATTCAACTGTTTATCTGAACCTACAATTTAAATAATAATAAAATTAAGTGGAAGTAAGATGCAATAATTAATTATATTGATTAAATATACGTAAGGGAAAATGATTATCAATACAAGTATAAATATAACATCACCTTTGAAAATTGACCACAGTTAACAAACAAACATGCAAATTTGAATCATGAACCGATATTAGTTAGGCTAATGAATATTACCAGAACACTGAATATCGATTTCATTATAGCTCAAGAACGATGATGGCTTAGTATCCAAGGCGTTCGACGTTTGGTCACTAAGCCCCAGGTTCGAACTTCTGTCTACTTGTTTTGGTTCGGGACACCAGGAGGTTTTATTAGCTTTCAAACTTAAAGTGTGCCTCATACCGGGTAATTGGCAAATGAATCAAGTTAGTTCAAGACTTCTTGACAATACATTCGATCGGAATCATATGAAACAGAACTCAAGATCTTCCGTTAGTGCGATAAACTTAATTGGTATCCAAAGTTTTACTAGTGTATGCATAGACAGTCAATTATTGATATACCACGACTAGAGTCCAACGATATTAATGTGAATTTACTGTGTCATTCTGAATTTGTCTGGCATTAATAATCAACGCTTTTTATTTGAACCTTGAACAATCTACTTAAAAAAACTAGTCACCCTTTAGTATGCAAATATTATGAATACTAAGTACTTTTTGTGTGGGCATCGTATAGTTTGAAGATAATTTTTAGTTAGCGATGATTTATTTGCAAGCGTAAATATACTATTTTTATTTTCACTATGAATACACCCAAAGTAAAAAAAATAATAGGAACCGAACAATCAATGAACAGTCTTTCTTGTACTACAAATAAATGAGGTTCTTAATGCTAAACTTAGGATCCCTCGGATTTAGAAACAAACTGTTAACTTCATCTTGAAATATAATCAGCTGCGAGTATTACCACAAACAATCCATGAATTAATCTGGTGTCGTAATACCAAAAATAACCAGTTAAATATTTATCACCACTAATCCAAGCTAGTAAAATTTATTCGTCAGCCGGTAATTGAAAAGTTAAAGTAACACCCAAGAATCGTACAGTTTGAAAAACAGATTCTTTAGACTCTATCAGGACAAAATTGAAGAATGGAAGTTTAAATTTAGGAATGTACAAAAGTCTTCAGCTGCTGCGACGATCCATTATTGTTAAATGAGAAAGAGAATAATATGTTAGGCTCAGACTAACAATTTAAAACCTCATTTCTTGTGAAATAAATATGATAATCTTCAAAACCTGTTTAACATAGAAAGTTAAAATGATCTTTTTCGTTTCACCAAACGCAAACATTTGGAACAATATTAGTACCGAAAAAATCCTGGAATGAAAAAAGGTTAGTTTAAACGAACATGCTCTTGAAAAAATTTACCTGAAGTTGCAATCAGCGATCCAGTTGGGTCAATTGAACAACGAACTAGAAAACCATCTTCAGTATAACTTCCACGATAACATCGTACAGGACGTGCAGTGACAACATTATAAATTCGTAACCTTCTATCTTGACATGCAACAGCTAGATAACGTTTACGATTAGTGGAATTCATTCGACTTTCTATTGAACTAGGTAACATTGGTGTAATAGCAGCATCTAATTGGGAATGACGTCCAACTAGATGGTGTTCAAGTGCGAAATGTGCTGTTTGACCAGATTCATCAGGCTTTGATTTAGAAAATAAGTTCAAAATAAATGAAAGATCAAATAATAATAGTCTGAATAATACTACTTCCATAACCAATTATGTAATACATTTTATCATATTCAGGTAGAATTATGTTATTCACTAAAAAGATCCCCTTAGTTGTTCTTTTTTTTACTGTACACTAAATGTATATTAATTAAAATTTAGTAGAACATACAGAATGAATGAAGTGAACACAAGTGAACATCAAAAATAGCAAGTTCGAAACTTGCTCCACCTACACATTGAATTAATTAATTGAGAAGCAATATAAGGCTATATAATACAACAAATAAAACTTAATGTAGATTAGATAAATATGTACTTAGAAAGTAAATTATAGCATTTACTATTATTTCACAAAATATAAAATATCCTGTTTTAATTTACGCGGAAAAAAACCCAGTTTTTCTTCTACTGAATGGAATTGTAAAGCTGTAGTCATATCAACCTCAAATGTCTTTTTAAATTCAATTATAAATTTGTAATGGAATTCACCATACAACAGAAATACATTACCAACGGTTGGGAAAACAAATTTAAATTGACTTCATTTAGACATTTTAATGTAATTACATTTCACCACTATAATGCATAAATATATAAGTACACTTACTTCAAGTATTCTAAATAATAATGATTTATCCATACCACAAGAGATTAAACGAATTTCACCATCATCTGTTTCAATGATTTTTGCAGAAAATATAGCACCCGAATGATCAGATATTGTTTGTACACGAGAATATTCTTTATTCGGATCAAATATATGAATCATACGATCACGTGATGCAGAGCATAACAATAAAAGTTGAGGAACTGAAAAAAGAGAAAGAACCATTTGGCGAGAAAAAAAACTACACAATAATATCAAAGCATGTAGATAATAGGAAAGGAAAGGGTAAACAATGGAATGGTCTGAAAACAGGCAATTCATTTACCATTTATCTTATCATATTCAATAGGTCAATAGTAATGAAATGCTAAGTTTAGCTGAAAGTAATTATTTATTACTGGTTTTTCAAATACTATGTTACTGCAGAAATCCATCTACAGAGCAAATAAGTCAGTATACTAATGAAAAGTGAAATATTGTTTATCTTTGTGAACTAATGTTACGTTTGAAGAGATTAACTTATCACCCAAACTGGCGAGTGTAACGAAAGTCAGAAAAACAAAAAGATAAGATAAACTATCCAATTGCACTCCAGACCTCCCCCCAAGGGAAACGCATATCCCACAAGATAAACTATCCCATTGCACTCCAGACCTCCCCCCAAGGGAAACGCATATCCCACAAGTAGTCGGAAGCACGAACGGAGAAGCACACAACTCATGTGTATATATACAGTACAAAAATGACCTAGGAAAACGTCCGAAATAGCGTACTAGAAGAGGAAACGAACCAATGACATTTGAGGTCTATCCAAATAGAAAATACAAACTGAAGGTAAAAGTGGGCGTTTTTGTTGCGAAAATGAGAAACTGAAATTTCCAAAATAAAATTACAAAAATGGGAGGTTTAGCAAGTGATTTTTGTGGATCTAGCATCGCCAACAACTAGTTGCAACGATAACAAATAATTTTTATTAGTTACAATACATAAAAATGAAAAATAATAGGACGAATGAGTGGTAGATAAACAATTCACTGATAAATAGATATTTACAAAACTTTCAAGTTTTACTTAGAATCATATCGGAAAGACAAAACAAAAAAGAACCTATTCAAGGGAACAGTATCATTTAGGTAGATACCAAACAATTTAGAAAAAGAAAAAAATTCTAAATGACAACTTACCTGAATATGATTGAAAGAAATTCAACGATAGAATTTCATTGTCATGAGCAGGTATCTGATAACATAATTTTAATGTCTCCAAAGAGTAAACTCTAAAAAATATATATGTATATATATACAAGTTTATAAATCGATTAACGGGTTAACTAATAATAATAGTAGCAGTATTTATCTTAAGCTTAGAAACCTCTTTAATTTAAATATCATATGATTTATTTATAATGTAAAGTTAATAACGGTCAATAAATAGAAGAGATATAAATATACAATCATATGTTCATGCAGGCATAATTTTATTAATTATGTACATAGATCTGTGTACAAAGACAGTCAGTCATAATCAATATGGAGCCTGGAGCATATATACGTTAAGCACAATGAGATGAATTTACATGAAAGAGCACCAACATAACCGAAATAATAATATATCAAGAATGATAATGAGAAAGATTAAACATTGAGAATATGACTTGAAGACAGAATAAAAACATATGTTTGAATAAATACCGGAATTCAAAATCGACAACAAGATAAGAAGTGAATGTATCTAAATTATTGTGAATGACTCTTAGTCGCCAACGTCACCAACCGCTGATCCCAGCTATCTCGTAGACCTCAACCTCACTTCACAAATTTATCTCATATCCTGTTTTGGTGGCCCTTGGCTTTCTTTAAACTTGCTTCTGCACCAGTGAGAATCGCTCGTCAAAGTACGTTGTTTTAGGTCTACATGAAAAGACTGTTTGACCTAGATGTTGTAATCAGCAAAAATTAACAGATCAATCGAAAATCCAGAAGGTGGATAGAAAGTTTTAAATTATTCATAATTCCCATAACTAACAGATAAATAACTTTAATCAGAAAACCAAAATTTAGGAAACTGTTTGAATTAAACGTAAACGTGTCAAATGTAAACTAAAAAGCAACGATTTAACTGTGCAAACACTGGTTATACTAACTACACTTTCAAACCAAATTATTCTGAAATGAATTCATTAAAAGATTATACGAATTATAAAGTATTATATGAATTTAGAAGAACGAACGAAAACTGACTGAAATCCAGTTCGGTACGTTAAAGCTTCAAATACTTTCCTCACATGCCTTGAGCATCACAAGTAGGAGCTTAGGTATACTTGAGGTTTTGTAGTTGTTGGATCTAATTGTCAGATAAATAACCATACAACGTTTGACTTGAACATTTTTTAAAAAAAATGAAAAAAAAACAAATCAGCTTTAAGGAATTGAAGGAGACATAGTAACTAAATATTCACCTCTACTCAAGTCCCGTGACATAGATATACCAATAGACATCTAATCCAGACTCATCTATAAAAGCAAACAGCAAAGTGAAGAGAGGCATCAGAGCTGACAAGCAGAAAAAAGTGGGAGATCTAGCGATGACAGCGGAAAACGCTGAAAGAGGAAATAGGACGCAATATAGAAGCTAGCGTAAAAATATTGTAAACCAGCAAGACCAGTCAAGGATAAATACGGCAAGTTGATCACTAAGGTTCAAGAACAGAGGAATAGTTGGGTAGAGCACTTTGCAAAACTCTTGAATAAACCAGTCAAATATAACCCACTGGACATTGAAACAGCACACAGACCGTCTTATAGCTGTCACTCCACCAACGATCGTAGAAATCAGCATTGCAGTCAGACAAATCAAGAGTGGGAAATTAACAGGTTGACTACATTGTGATGACCTCTATAACTCAGAGAAAACATGGAATACAATGGACAGCTCAGAATCAATTAGAAGATTCGGACTTCGCAGATGAACTAGCTCCTCCATCCCATCCCATACACACCAAAACATGCAGGTCAACACAACTAGTGTAGCAGCAGCATCTGCAACAGTAGGCCTCAACATACACAACCGAAAAACCAACATCCCCAAATACAACACACAGAACACCAACCAACCCTATCACAATTGATGGAGAAACTCTGGAAGAGATGGAAAGTTTCACGTATCTGGGTAGCATCATCGATGAACAAAAAGGATCTGTTGCATGTATAAAAGCGAGCATTAGCAAAGCAAGGACAGCATTCCTACAGTTGAAAAACACATGGAATTCAAAACAACCGTCTATAAACCAACATCAAAGTCACAATCTTCAATACGAACGTTATTAGGAAAAGACGCTGGAAATGGATAGGACACACATTGAGGAAATTACCAAACTAAATCACGAGGCGAGCACTAACTTGGAATTCTGAAGGGAAAATGAGAGGCGGAAGGCCAAAGAACACACCGAGTCAGGAATTGGAATCATACATAAAAAGGATGAATAGGAACAGGAAACAAGTTTTCAGGACAGATTTTAATGAAGAATGCTGATGGGCGACCTTCGTTCCTCTGTGGGGGATAACAGGCGTAAGCACATAAGTATGTAGATAAGTAATTATGTCTTAATAAAAAGCCATCTTCAAATCACAGCTTTAAAACTCAAGTAGCTGAATAAAACAGTTGCAAAGTAATGTTTCACATATTGGATGACAACCGCAAAAGTTAGATTGCGTTATTATGCATCAAACAGTTTCACAAAATAACGAACATTCTACGCCCACATTTGAAACGTTACTGCAAACTCCCTTTTATGTCCAGAGTAAAGTGGACTCCAATAACGTACAAGTACAAGTTATCTAACGTAGTGTAAATGTTTCGATAAAGCTTGTGTCATTTGTACCTGAGTCTCATTTGGACAAGTTTGGATTGTGGCTACGTGATTATTATGAGTAACAACAAAAATCAACTGAGACTACTGATGGTATCTGAAATATGAGATTAATATTTTTTTCGGTGTAACATTTATTTTCTTTCTCTGGTTCTGTCTTTGTGAAGAACATAAAATATATACTACAGAACAAGATACATATTAGAGAAGTCCTGAAACAAAACTTTATCCAACTTTAAAGTAAGTTTCAAACTCATATAATAAGATTGATTGTTGAGTCCAGAGAGTGTTAATAATATCATTGATTGAATGAAATTACCCTGTATTAACTTGTATTACTAAATTTTTATTTCAGTAATTAAAATATATAATATGCAAGTATACTGAGGTGAAAGGAAGTGAATCCTATCAAACAGTTAAATCTAAATCTGACCCAAGCACCCATAAATGTATTAAAGTTGTAAATTTTCTTCGAAAACATGTAATTTATGATGAGTATTGATATTTTAGACCGATTCTGTAAATACTTATAACTAAATGACAATTCTTCTTATAGCCTACATTAATAGAATTCATGTGTCTATTACTTAATTTCAGTTAGCAAATATTATTTAACTGATTATCTAAAGATTACACAATATATTCGAACAAGTTAATCATACAATGGGCTAAGATTTTATGCCTAAGACAATGATTCTGGAAACAATAAATTTTTAAAAAAAATATTTATTATTAGTTTTAAGAATTCCTAATGAAACACATTTCTATATGTTGTTCTTACATTAGCTTTATAACTGGCAAAGTAGTCTGCTTCATCAAACATCCATATCGAACAAAACGATAGTGATTTCTTATTTATTTACTTTTTTAAATATACTATTAACCTTACTGATGCCAAGAGACTGCGAATTTGGCCAGATAAAAAGCGTATTTTGAAACAGACAGTTACCCGTAAAAATATCCAATAATGGATGCCAATTATTTGAAAATATTCGTGACGTTCACGATAAAATTATATTTATAACGATTAGACAGATAGATACCATGAAAAACACACTACAATAGTTAAGTCACAATCCCCACCCCAAATCCCCTGGTACAGTTGAGGGTGGGGAAGGTCCGCTCTCCTTCTCGAGATGCTTTTACATGTTCATGAGTATACAACCAGCGCCTTCTTGCGAAAGAAGTGTTGTTGAGGAAATTGAGTGGATTTTCGGCGCTTTAACAGAGTTGGTGGGTATGGAGGATTCACCTAGAGGAGTTGAAGAACCCTGACTCCAAATCAATGGTGCACATAGGCTACACGAAAGTGACGAAACAAATGATATATGAACCCGTTGTTGGTCAACGGCTACCATAAGACTGCATCTCATAACATCTCTCCACGACCTTGTAGATTAGACCTGTGGGTTAAAGGCTCGGAGGGTGGCCCCCTAAGAAAACCACATTGATTGGTTTGTGCTCCCGGGAAGTATTACAGCCCTCACACAAATCGAATGATGAATTATGGATTACATATATTTGGCGCCTATTTGTACCAATGTTTATGTGTTTAAATAAATAAAATAATCACAACACAAATAGCTCAATGGTAACACCTACGGTTAGAAAGCTCGATATATTGGGTTAAAGTTTCGTAAGAAACCTTGTCGATGAGTGTCAGCTAGCAAGAAACATAGGTCTACGGTTTCCTGTCAACTACCTTCGACCATCTAACACTATGTAAGTATGTCAACATATAACTATCGACAATCGTCTTCATTTATATACAGACAAAAGAAACAGACGAACGAAAATAGACCCAACACACATACAAGTGGTCGCTTGTCGCATACCAGCAATTCTAAATTTTTCTCCTCCAAAATGATGAATTAATGCAAAAGGAATATTAAAAAAACATTCCCATAAAGTTTACACGAATGACAGTAGAAAGTTTAAGAGGCGGACGATTATAAACTAGGAGTTTTCATCTATTTAACAAAATACATTATATCATAGAACACACATAAACATATATTAGTAGTAAGTAAAGAGGAATAAAAAACAAGCGAGAAAAAATAGACGATAGCAGTGGAATCTTGAAACAATTCATCTTTTTTATATACTATCAGCAACTATACCCGGTGAAGCTTTACATATTTCCAATAAATAATCCCGCAACTCGCACACTTCTGTATCATAGAACTAAACTGATGGTCCTCAACGACTCATTGGACAATCGGAGAACAGTGTCTAGTTATAGAACAATGTATCATTGCAATAAATAGAATTACATAGAATAAATAGTTTTGACATGATAAACGATCCTTTATATGTTGAATTATTTACCATAGTGCACAAAACGGTATAAGATTAAGAATTAAAAGTAGCAATAGGGTTAGAGTTATGCTTATGAGTTGAGGTTGAAATATGAGAATACTTTTTAACCACACAAATAACCTTGACTACACTCTGAATTAAATCTGTTCCGCCTAACGAGTAATCAGCGTTACAGATAAAATCTGAATAAAGAGTAAGGCGCTTCTTGCACATACTATGTTACATTTATTGTACGGTCGCACAACAGATGTATTTAGCAACTTAAAGCGTCTTAAGAACTAGATATACGTTATTTTACAGACACAACCTCTATTGCATCCTAATTTTGCGTGAAAATTCCATAGCCACAAACTTAAATCTGATTGAATCCTCCATAATGCGACAAAGTCACAAGCACAGCATTCGAGTCTTGGTGTGAAAATCAACACTAGCGTGACGGTACATTCACTCGGCGAGTCAAATAGAACGAAAAGTGCGTCCTGTATCCCACAGCTAGCGGTTGTCTCACGCTACTTTCAATACTTGTAACGTAATGACAATATCAAGGCAGTTCGCACAGAATGCAAATATGTCGAAAGCGGCTGACACCTGAAGTTCATTAGATCAACGGTAGGATCAAAATAACCAATACAAATTATGAAATACTAGAAAATTAATCACAATAACCAATTAAAAAAACCAAAAATATTGTCATTAAAGCACACGTACCGTAGACTACCATCACGATCACCAGCTGCTAGATGACGACCATCAGGACTTATACAAATGGTACGAACACAAGTTGGTCCGATATTGGTAGTAGCAGTAGCACAGTTACTACTATTAGTATTAGTAATATTACTAGCACCAACAGTATTAAGTGAAGACGTTAAACTAGAAATCAACTGACAATGTTCACTGATTGATGGACGTGATGGTGATGCAGGTGATTGAAGTGCAGAATCAATTTGTCCCAGGTCATTTGTACCAGGTACAAAACCTGGTCCACCTAACAGACCTATCCCACCTTAAAAAAAGCAATAAGAGATTTTCTTTTTACTGTTTTTATCAAGTGAATTTATTTCATATACATGGATTGTGAAATGTTTCAACTAGTAAGTTCCAAGTCTAAACTTCTCTTGGCCTACTTTAGTTTGAACGCAGTTAGACAGTGTGTTATTAGTCTTCTTATAAACACTGTGGTAAAAAAAGTTGAGTAAATAAACTGGCACATGGTAACTACTACTCAGAGACAATCATTAAAAAAATGTATGGTAGTAACTGACGTACTTTAGATTTATCCTTTCTTGAAATAATCAATACAGAAATATTTACTTACTAACATTTTTGCGAAAAACGTGTTCAGAAATTATTAAATTCCAATTATACATTTATAATAAATTGGTTTTGTTTGCAAGAATATTGAAAACATCAAAAAATTAAACAGTTGTTTCTACCCTTAGGTCATGAATCTTCACATGTTAGAGCACTATTGTGTTTGTGTGTGATTTATGTACAAGTACATACTCAAATGTCTTTATTACAAAAATAATTCAACTATTTTTGATTCACTGAACTATGCCATAGAGTAAGAGTTTTGAATATTATTAGAAATTTCCTTATTACGACCCAGCTACTCTCATTGCTTATTATTCTTGAGCACTACTTCACTCAACAAGTTTCCAAATCCGAATACAGCTGAACAGGAACGTGATTGTATTCCAAATAAGAAATTTGGATGGAAGTATAGATCGCAATAAGAAAAACGTTAGTTTATCTATAATTTTTACATACGATTCTAGTCTTCTCCAAGTCTCCACTAGCGCTGATTGGTTGGAAAACAGCCAATCAGTGCAACCCTAACACAATCCTTCATGGAACAAACTTAAATCCAATCTACGTCCCGCTAATAACTATCTGTGATCAATAAATTGGGATATTAACATGAAGCTGAGGAGTTTGATATAATGGTCGCTAGGAGCATTGAGTTTAACTAAAGTGTGTGCTTCCAATTTACGCATTTCAATTCAGTAAATAACTACTGTTAAACACAATAAAATCTATATCATTCATAGTTTCAACATAGACTGATTGATCTAAGAAAATATTAAAGCTGAGAATATCAAGCTCCAACTGGAACAATGCTGTATTTAATTTCTAGAAACTCCAATTTAGTACTTCTTTCAAATATAAGTAGTCACAGCACGAAAAAAATGAAAAATCAAGAGTAGACAAACCTTTACCAAAGCCATCGAAGAGAGAACATGCAAATAAATTCAATGAGTGGAATAAAGATTTCATAATTATATTATATAAACATATACATTTATATACTTTCAACTTGAAATATTCATTGGCATGATAACACTACATCCCACGTGTTATTAAGTGAAATGTTGCGTTAAATCATGCTAAGAAAAGAGGAATTCAAAGTATCGAGGAAAGGGAAAGGTAGAATCATACTTTAAATTGATAATGACTATGGGAAATAAAATATATTTAAGTCAGGTAGGTAATATGCAAAAAACATCGGTCATTTTATTTAACTAATGACTGCTATGGAACGAATGGAAAGCAAAGAATTATGAACAATTTCGTTATATTTTACTTCTTGAAAATGACTACTTTAGATTTAACACAAAATTAGATTCATAGCTAATGTAACTTCAATGACTATCATAAAATTTGACTATTGATTGGAATTAGTGGCATAAAAATTCAACTACCTCGGCAATAAAGCAACGAGTGTAATGGCTTACGGGAAATAACTAAAGTTTGAATACATTCGAAAACTGTTTGATTTATAACAAGGAGCCCAATCAAAACATGATTAATTTTGATTCTGTAAGGGGCTGATAGTAGTAGTTGATGACTAATTGTCTTTATATTTCTCAAAACATCACTTTTCACATTAACCACACAACGAATCTTATTGTGTGAAAGATGGCGATCATAACAAATTTACTGCATGAAACGGATTTTCGAAATACAAAACGAAACTATTGGTGAGCAGTAAACTCAATTTAGTTTAAACAAAGCTGTTTATGATTTAAATTGTGAAAGACAAAACGAATGATAAATCCGAATTCATCATATGTATATTCTCTTTCCCCACATCCTCTGTTTTCTTGAATAGTGAAAATTTCTGCCATGTCTCAAAGAAAACTTATTCTTAGTTAAGAATGTTTACTTATCTAATATAAATTATCAGTAATTCAATACATCAGTATTCTTGTAGATTTTTAAAGAGATAAATGTATTCTGATGCGAAGACTTTTTTCGAACGCTACCGTGGCGTAGGTTTTTGCGAGATAAACGCCAATGCCTTGATAAAAGTAAAGTTATTATTTCTTACTAATCTTTCAGATGACTCAAAGAGACTAAGATAAAAAATCGATGACAGTCTAAGTGGTGTACCATAGTAGTCAAAAATAACTGTTTCTCATGATCACCTAGTGATGAAGAGTCAAGAAAAAAAGTGAGTATTGGATTGTCGATCTGCTATATGAGATTAAACATAAGAACGTCAAATCATCTAACAGAACTATAGGTACAAGTAAATTGCTTATTTCTTTTTATTCAGTGAATTTCAATGAGCTGAATGGTTCAAACTACAATACAGTATTTTAGTTTTTGGTCAGTTAAGTTTCATCTTTCTTTCTCTCGCCCGATCGTATGTAATTATTCTTACTTTATAGTTGTTCGCATAACAGAAGACATTTTAGTAACAGTTTGTATCACCTTATCTGTAAAACACGGTGGATAAGGTTAGAGACAGGCACTAATGAATCAGCACCAAAATGCACACATATGAATATAAATATATTGATGATTCATATAATTTTCCAAAGAGAAACCGAACACTAATGTTAACCGCAAATCCAAAACGTGGAGATTTATGGAACTGGCCAACCATAAATCTGATAAAAGTATGGATATGTGCACACGTTTAAATGTTAATCGAAATGTACGCAAACAAAAAAACACTGATATTTGATGATATTGAGAATGATAAAGGGTAAAACATACAGGTGGTACAGAAATAATGATTAAAGATTTTTCCGAAACTGAGATAACTAAAAAAAGGTTAATTACAACCAAAACAGACCACATAAAGATGGAATTCAAGGAAGACTTTACGCTTGCTTAGCAAGACGCCTTCGATAAGTTTACACTGAATGGCTTTCCCCTAATAGAGGTATTAGGCTTGATAGTAAAATTGACTGCTACGCTTTGATTGTATTAGGAGTGATTATAAATGTGATCTAGTCAAAGTAAATGGAGGTGTGACTAAAATCTTCTTTATTGTCGAAATATGGAACCGATTGAGGTTCAACTGAAAAACATCACCGAGTTAACTATATTCCAAGCTAGATGTATTTCACGACCAAACTTTCTATGGAATTCGATATATCGTCCGACTAGCCGAATATAACTGTGGTATTAAACAACTGGATGTTTTGTAAATACTGCGAGTAGTGATTGGACTTTAAGACATACCGACCCATGTTGGATTCTACTTTACCGATGAAGCTCAAAGCCTGTTTCATAAGGTATATGAGGATGATGATAATCAATATGACAATGTCAACACTTAGATCGATGAGATTGCATTGTCAAATTGAGCACACTCATCCAATCTATCTTGACAGGGAAGCACAGAAGAAAAAACTGGAAAAATCATTTGAGGATTAAAACAGTGCTGAGTTTATGGCTGCGGTGAAACAAGTATACTTATTTATTGTGTGATATCGAAAGCCACTTCACATCACTTCGGAGAGATTATTTAATTTGCTTTGTTTAATATAGGAAACATGATTTCTTTATGTTTGAATATCTTATGACACCCTAGCATAAAGAAAGTATGCAGGCGTACTTGGGTAAATCCTACACCCTCCAGTGACATTGACAAGTTAGCTAGAGGAGCCATAACTGAAAGTGACTAGGGTGCTTTCGTGTCACATAGAGGGATTTCGGACACCCGTGTAGAATCCTTTTGTATGTATGTGTGTGTCTGCTTGTGTAAGAAAATCACACCATGTGTGTGGTCAAAGAGACTTCTTGTTTCACACTGCACATAACGTTATTCCTTTAACTCTCTGTATTAATGTGTTTTATGGTCATCTTTTGGTTCAACTTGAAATCCCTTTTATTTTGTCTTACATTTTTAAACCTTGATCGTTTCTTTAATTCGATTTTGCATTATTTTGCTGAATGTGCCAGTTTTTTTGCTTTACTTGACCCTATATTCTGACGACTGATATATTGAGCGATCAATTTCCTGATTGATTTAATCTATCCGAAAACGATAGAAACTTTGTTTTCTAATTAAAAATGTTTACAATTAACATTGACAAACACTTTGTCGTATGATTCAAATATAAGGGACTGTGGATCACATCGTTGTGATACCCCAAGATTATTACGACGAAATAAAAATATTCAACGATCTTTGATTATTGATGGTTATTAAGTTGATGATTTCCACCAGACACAAATTCAGGTTTCGATGTCCGTGTGAAAAAAGGTAATATTGAAATGAAAGTATCTATACAGACATTCATCTGATGAATCGCAAGAAAATAGGTCACAAGTTTCCCTACAAGTAAGTACCTCAACTTAAAAATGATATGAAATGAATACGAAAACAGTAGTGGTCAATAATTCATTAACTTGATATTCCAATCGATGCACATGTGCAAATGATCATGGTGATGGGTCAACCAGATATATATATCAGACATGCATTGGAAAAAAAGCGATGAAAATATTAATTAGCTTAACATCATGCGAAATGAAATGAGATTGCAAAAGAAAAACACATGGATACATTTTTACACATGTAGACATAAACACAGAGGTATGTATATGTAAATAAAATTTCACACATATATATGCATAAATATCTATATGATTTACCTTCTAATTTAGACAAGGTAATTTCAACTGGAGGATTATAAAAAATGGAACAGGTGAGTGGGTGGGTGAGTGATTGATTGAGAAGAAGAGAGAAAGAAAGGGAGAAAAAACACAAACAAAAAGGAAAATAGACAAAATTATCAGTCTCTGAGATGAAAATAGCAATAGATGAGCAAGTTACCATAACAAAGATTTAATTCATTCATTTTACATCTTGAACTGGATTGCAGCAAACAAGCTTACAGGACTAGAGATACACCTTACCTATTAAAAATACATATTACCTTGAGTAGTCAAAATAAGTGTTTCTAGTATTCATTAGGATCGATTGCGCTCTATTATCGATAAAAAACATAAGACCAAGGAATTTCATTAGTGTCAGTTACTTTGAGACAATTACCGTGTGACAATACCGTGAGATCAGTAAGTAGGCATCTAACCGTTTATATAATACAAAATTCAACTAAATATTGATATACTGCGACTATCAAAGCTAATGCTATCGATGAGTAATCAATTACATAATTTCCGTTTTTTTTTTTGATATTATAACGGAAACTTGAAGAAATTAATCTCATGGTTAATTAATATTTCACAGTTTATTCGCAATCGAGAAATTTAAATTTTAAAGGAAAAGGCACAAATAAACTACTAAAGAAAACCATTCTTGGGTGCTTTGATTAACAGAAAATAAAACAAAACTTTCATAAAAACCTAAGTATACAGGAGGATAGTATGCATGGGTAAATTAATATCCTCCGATACAATTTACCAAGAACTGAGCGAAAAATTTATCCTCATGGCTAAAAACATTCGTCGATACACTGAAGAACTTCATAAAATAGGAAACTGCCACATAAGCAAAAAATTGTTCACAATAAGTTGATTATACAACTAACTTCAACGAAAATCACCTTATTGGAAAAAAAAGAAAAACAATCATCTCAGATCTGCAGATGGATTCTTTTATATTAGGATTGTTTCGAAATCTAATTGTCAAATAGTATGTAGTAAGTTGAGATTCAACAGATAATAACTGAAACAGTGTTCACCTTACACAAAATATAATCCAAACCTGCATTTAGAAAAAAGCCTTTTCGAATAGTTTACATAACAGCATCAAAATATGAACAGTCTATACTCTGCCGAGTATTTTGTTGAAAATACTTCAAACTATAATTCCTACCATAAAGAGAGATGAATGTCGGTTAGAAATGGAATCCTACCTTAGAATCTTCAGCTGAATGTCCCTGTACCCCAGAGTTAACGATTAACCAAATAGGATGGAATGTGTGCTCTGGATTCCACTGCAAGCCAACATTCATCTCTACTCATGATGCTTGTGACTTAATGACAATATCAAGACAAACCGCACAGGATGTAAATGTGAAAAAGAGACTGATCAATTAGTCTGAAATACCAACAGGAAGACTAAAACGACCAATACAAATGTATATAGAATTACAATAGACAGTAAGGGATATTCAATGACCTATATTTCCTAGCTTCACTAAAATGAAGATATATGTTTTTATAGTCAAACAAACTGGGAGTGTAAAAACAAATCCCCAGTGAAATGGGATGTAGATCGAACTATAACGCAATCTGATTAAGTTAAAAATGTAAATTAGCGAATTCCCAGTTCAGTAGTTTGAAGTTAGAGCCAATCGTAAGACTGTCGAGGGTTTGATATAACAAGAAACGTTGAACTAGAATGAAACAGTTGTCTAGTTTTTCATTGTATCAGACGATTGAAGGTTGTTGAAAGAAAACCATGAACTTAGCTACCGTGTTATTTGATACTCGTCAGCAAAGTGTACCCGTAAACTTGGAGTGACAGATGGTCCATGTGGAACTCGAATCCGCATCACCCAGCTTCAGAATTTGAGATGTTATCTCTGAGCTATTAAGGGAGGGAATAACCTTTTACATGGCTAAAATGAGACGTTATAAAAAGATGGATTTGAAAAGAAACAAATATATATTCACTATGATGAAATAGATATTTTATTTTCTAAGATTTAATATCTTAATCTCCAACAAATTACTAAATTGTATCACTGAACATTTTTTAAACAAAACTGCCAAGCCTAGTTTTAAATAACAAAAACACAAATTTAGATTCATATGTGGAACTTACTTGAAGAACGATCAATAGTACATAGATATTTGTGACTTGGATCAGTGTATATAATGCCAGCAAGTTGCTAAAATAAACAGTAAAACAATGACCATTAATTCAATAAAAAGTAAACTGAATTGATTTAGGAAGGTTTATAACTGTACAAGTAGATTTTATGGCAGTTTGTATCGTCACATGCAGAAGTGAGCTGGTTTAATCAGTCTGTTCTATGAATGTTTGCATTTAAAGGTTTTGTGAGCTTCATTTGTCACTGTATTTCTATTTTGAGCTAAATTCACATACTTTCTTATCCTTACTTAATTTACGAAAAATGAAAGTGAGTGAATATTCTAGAACTATTACCTTCAGTATTTACAAAAAGGACCCCACCCTCTTATCAAAATTTGAACTCTTAATTTCCTCCATATTACACACAATTTATTTAGCATCGATTAACAATTCATTTCCCAACATTATGTTAACAATCGGAAATGATCAAACATAATAGTTTCTATGTAGTTGAAGAGAAAGCGATGAATTAGTTATATTCTGTAAATAATATCATTCTTGCTTTGTGTAAATCTCTATAAACTCTTTATCATCATAGGCACTGCTTAAAAAATCATTAATTTGCAGCAATAGATAGCATGTCGAAATATGAAATGAGTGGTAATAGTTGATAAGAACCCCCAGACACCGATTTGGTGCTAGTTGATAATCGTCTACAAAGTGTACCTGAAATCGTAAGAGAATTGATGCTCCCTGTGGAATTCAAACCTGAATCGTCCAGCTTTACAATCTGGGACATGACCACTAGTTATTACTTTTGTAAACGTATCGAAGCATCTCGATAAAAAATTTATTATAGTAACAGAAATTAAATAAGTCTATTACTGAATAATCAAAAAAGTGGGGAAATACAAATTATTAGTTAGTTAATATTTAACATTCATAATTATAGTCACGAGAGTTTATGTTGATTGATGGATTAATACCAATATTATATAATGTGACATAAATAGATACAAGTCATGTAAACCTTCTGACTGTAACAATAATCGATAAAAATATATAAAACAATGTTATATATATAACTATTTTTTCGAAAATGCATATTTTTCTTTAACTCTAATGTTTCTTTTATTAACCTTTTAAACCATTTATTCAAAATCTTTGAACTCCTTGGTTAATGATATGATAGACCAATGCTGAGTATTATATGAAAAAAATCCTTATCAGTATGGGGATTTATGGAGAACGTGATGGTCTAGAAGTTAACCGTCCGCGCGCAAGGCTGAAGGTCCTGGGTTCGAGTCCTGAATGAGGGATCGTGTATGCGCACTGTTAAGGAGTCACATACTAGGACGAAACGTCTATTCAGTGCTTTCAGGTTTTCAGTGGTGTTCTAGCTTAGACCGAATGGTAGTTTCTACTGTGAAAAAAAGATTGCTTTACAACTATCAACCATATAACATATGAATATTGAAATCCATTCATATGACCTAAATGAACGTTTATAATGTGTGATAAAATATAATTTCAGCAAATGTGTTGACCTATTGTTGATTCGAACTGGAAAACGTTTGACCAGATTAGTTATTATCACTACTATAAATAAAAAGTTTTTTAGAAAAGAATCACGAACACTTTTTTATTCTGTCAGGAGAGAAATCACAATTTTTTTTAAAAAAAGAGAAGTATTGTCACGAATCAACATCCACAGTAAATTTACGGATAAAGTTCAATTGTAAAGTTGTTTATTAAGATTATACAAAGGAAAAGTCAGTCAGTCAGCTACAAAGTAGGACCAGGCACATATGTGCATCGGTCCAAGTTGCCATACCTCATTAGTACAGGAAGATGAACACCGGATTCATAGAAGTAGTTAATTTAGTGGTGGTAATATATAAAAAAGGATTGCATATAAGGACATAGTACAGGAAGAAAGAATTAGTTGGTATATATATATATATATATATATATATATATCTTGATATTATTATGGTTCATTTAAGATATTCTATAGAGGAAAATAATAGATAAAGCCAATTTGTTTTATGCAACTTCATTAAGAAATAATGATTATGAATGAATAGAAATCAATAAACTTTGTAATATTTCGTCTTTTTATAAACTTTCTCAACGGTATTCAACGAAATAAATATATACAATTAATAATCAATGAAAATAGAACATTTTGGAAGAAAAGATGGTTGACAAACTATGTAGGAAAAACAAACTCTAAATGAATGACAAATTTATTGAAACACAGGGTTTGGTTGAATTAAAGTTACGTAGCCTATTTTGCTAAGTGGAGGGAAGAATAATAACTAATAATCAACACCACTGTATGTTTTTTTCTCAATTAAAACATACTTTTAAGAAATTATGCATTCACTTACTTCTGTACATTCGAACGTTGTAGATCCTATAAATTCTGAATTGACTGGGACACTTGTTGACAATCTAATTCCATTATCGGTAACATTATTTGTTGTCGACTGACAATTTCCAAGAAGATTCCAAAATCGAATAGTTCCATCATCAGAACATGTGACAAACATATCATTCGACCACCAAGATTGTAAATGATTTAATGGAATCGTATTATTATTGTTATCGATGTTATTATTCTGTCGCCATTGTTCCGGTAAACAATCCACTGACCAAATACCTCGACTATGGTAATAATGCGATCGACATTTATTGATCGTTGTTAAGTCATGTATATCCCAAACATGAATGCTTTAATGAACAAAATAATGACAAAAATTTCAGTGGAAATATTAATTGTACTCATTAGAATAAACTTGAAGAAACAAAGCAAAAATGCCATTTTTGGTTGAATATTTTCAAGTGACTAAACATCTTCTCCTTCGTTTTAATAAAATTATCACGGATAAAATTATTATAAGAATAGTGTTGTGGAGGTTGTTGAGTTTAGATTGATATCACGAATGGACCAATGTTAGACCACAAAAGAAAACCTGGAATCACTGGATGGCCGTTCCGCCGTAGTACGGAACTCCGCAGAATTGCTCACCCATGGTCCCCAACATGGGAATCGAACCCAGGATCTTCGGTCTCGCACGCTTAAGCCTAAACTCTAAATCACTGAACCGGCATCAGACAGTGTTAATATCTAAAATCAAATAATCCACGACACCGCGCGACCGTCCACTATTGTCTTCAGTGAATAACTATTTAACAACCGACACGGATGAACTCAACTGTTTAGGATGTCAACCTTAACTCAAAAACTTCCACAAAACTATACTGACAATTATCCTGTGCTCATTAGAGACTAGCTTCAAGATGGATTTCCTGGAGTTCTAGTGAGATGTGACCAGTCGAGTCCGATCCGTGTCCAGTAGAGAGAGGTATACACTTCATACAATTGATCAAAGCTTAGTCAACTGGATTATGAAGATCTCTACATATCAAGAAAATCACAGAATACAACGGACAGCTCAGAATCAATCAGAAAATTCGAACTTCGCAGATGAACTAGCTCCTCTATCCCATCCCATCCCATACACACCAAAAATGCAGGTCAACACAACTAGTGAAGCAGCAGCCTCTGCAACAGTAGGCCTCAACATACACAACCAAAAAACCAACATCCCCAAATACAACATACAGAACACCATCCAACCCTATCACAATTGATGGAGAAACTCTGGAAGAGATGGAAAATTTCACGTATCTGGGTAGCATCATCGATAAACAAAAAGGATCTGATGCATATATAAAAGCGAGCATTGGCGAAGCAAGGACAGCATTCCTACAGTTGAAAAACACATGGAACTCAAAACAACCGTCTATAAACCAACATCAAAGTCACCATACCGAGATGAAACGTGGAGAACTACCACAACCATCGTCACCAAAGTACAAGTATTTATAAACAATTGACTACACAATATACTAATTGTTCGTCGGTCACATACCATCAGTAACAACCTACTGAGAGAGAGAACAAACCTGCTCCCAGTTGAAGAGAAAATTACAAGAAGAGGTTAAAGGTGGTTACGATACACATTGTGGAAACCATCAAACTTCACCACGAGGCGGGTCCTGATCTGGAATCCTGAAGGCAAACGGAAAAGAAGGCCAAAGGACACATTGAGTTGGGAACTGGGAGCAGATATGCGAAGGATCAATAGCAACTGGAAAGCATTGCCCAAGACAGAGTTGAATAGAGAATGCTGGTGTGTGGTCTATGCTCCTCCATGATGGGTAACAGGTGTAGGTGGGCTTTTAAATATGATATATGTAAGAGGTTGAAACAAAGTCAGTAGTATTGCATTAAATCTTTTTTTATAGTACACTTATTGACATAAAAAGAAGACTTATTTAACAAATTTTGAAGTCGAATTTCAGTGGTACAATTTTAGTGAACGAGAGCACTAGCGGAGACAACCAAATATATTTTAATATAACATTACAAAATATCTTAGTAAAATCTGAGAACCATACAGTAAATACTTCATTTGCAAAATACCGATCAGTTGTCTGAAACCTTGTTGTTCCTTCGTTCCCATATCAATCACTCTCTGTCTCGTTCTCTTCTCTTCGATTTTCTGCTGCCATGCATTCCGCTTTCGACTGGTGATGCATACTATTTATATCTGTCGACATCAGTAGAACACACCACACAATCAGTTGTTTTTCCCTCTTTTGTTGATGACATACCATTACCAAACAGGAAGCTTTTATAATTTTTCTCAAGTATATTAATCACTTGTAATTAAATGAAATTTAATAAAAGGGGCGTTAACGTTTTCTTACTAAAATGGCTACAAACTAAGTAATAGAGATGGTATGAAAGGAGAACAGTGAATAACACGTCAACATTGCATTTCATGCTCAATATATGTTACAAGATATGTAAAAACTACTGAAATATTGAATCAAAACCAAATATCGGATATTCTGTCATTCATTCTATCCCCTGACATGTCTTAATTTAACAATAGATATCTGAGAGAGAAAACCATTTATCTGATAGAAAAAGCAATTATCAAATATCTCAATGATATTAAAACATATTTACAATGGTGGTCTAGCTTCAACTGACTCATGATTTCAATCTGTGAAATTTCTAAAATCTCCACAAAACCCATTCTGATAATAATAATCAACTGCTCACTAGTGACTGACTTCAGGAAAAACTCCCGAAGTTCTAGTGAGAAGCCGTTACCAGTGGAGTTCAACCAGGTCTGTTGTGAGATAGGAACTCACTGAAGACAATGGTGTACGGTGGCGCAACTTCGTGGATTGGTTGAAGTTAGACATTAACACCGTTGGATGCCGGCTCAGTGGTCTAATGGTTAAGTGCTCGCGCGCGAAGCCAGTAGGTCCTGGGTTCGAGCCCCGCGTGGTGCGGGATCGTGGATGCGCACTGCTGAGGAGTCCCGTACTAGGACGAAACGGCCGTCCAGTGCTTCCAGGTTTTCAATGGTGGTCTAGCTTCAACTGACTCATGATTTCAATCTGTGAAATTTACAATAAGATGCAACAATGTCAAGCAATTAGAGATAATGAAAGGTGAGCTGTAGATTTAGGTAGTGTACTAGGTAACACCTAACATTAAGGCGTGTCTGTAATCTTAAGAGAATTGATTGTAAACAGACATAGATCAGATTATGAGACATGAAAAACTTGCAAGTTGACATGATGCAGGGTACTTTGTGATGTGAAACAAATTGGAAAACAAATCATCTTCTACATATAGTAAGTAATGAAGTTCAACATAGGAATTGTACCATATAAAGGAGTCAATCACACATGATACGAAGTGATTTGAAATCATGACAAGTCTCTATGTCACATTACTTTATGTATGGAGATTTAGAACAACATACATAATTCACAATATGGAAATGTTTAAGAATTTTTAGGTATGGAGATTTGAATTGTGATGATATCCCCGGGAACATTTATCCATGTATTTATTGTATGAATAGTGGAACACTTCTCACCACAACATAACTTTTATACATGTCACACATATTTTTATTTCCATCAACATATATCTTCACATTTTGAATTGATCAAGAAACTCTGCTAATATTACTTGTGCTGTAGATGATACAAGCTAAATGTTAATGCTCAAACATGTTAAAATGTGTGGGATTCACGTATCACAATCTGTTAATCCTCATTCCTGAAAATCATGTAAATCTTTGGCGAAAGCATCTAGAAATTTCAAGCACGAGTATGTTTATGCTTGGTTTGCTATACTCGTCCCTGAATATTGGTGGTATTCATAATGATTCGCAATACTAAGGTTCCCCACGTTTGATTTAATTGACTTGTTGACAGAATTACATTTCCTACTTGTCAGGAACGCATTATCCTTAATAAGTAACTACTTTTTGTATTTTTAGTAGATTTATCTACTTGATGTACTACAGTTTTAATTGTGCAAAGTTTTCAGTAAAGAATATTGGCCGCATAGTCTAGAAGTACATCTTTTCGGATATTTTGTATGATCTATATTTAGTTAAGTGGATAACGTGATGGCTTTTGAAGCAGACGGTACAGGGTTCGAGTCCCGCAGTGGACATAAACTCTGGGATGCAGACACATCCAGATGACGAGCCTCGAAAAGGACGAAAGGCGTGTCCTGGGTTCCACTGCTAGCCACCATCTATCTTTGCTTATAATTCTATATTTATGTTTATGCTTAATTGGTAACGTTGTGAACATCCAACAATTGTGCTTCGATATAACTTGGAATGAATAAAATCCACCGAATTTATCCAGGCTATACAAAAATCAGCCGAAACTCTGGAAATTTTGTACGTTACATGGGTATAATCAACTTATTATTTCAGTTACACATGGGTACAGTGTCAGTACAAGTTCAAGACATCTTCGTTAATATGAGCTTACACTTGATCATTAGGTAATTAGAATCAACCTTCAGGAAACAATGAAAACAACTTTGGTGTTTATTATTAACAAAAGACCAACGTTAGTGAACGGGAATTCCAGTAAAAGTAATGTATAGTGATTAATCAATAAGAATAAAGAAAAAGACTTTTGACTTTCCACCCGAAACTTCAAAAAATGACCTTTACATTCTATCAAATAGAGAGCAGCAGGATTAACTGAATATAGTCCTCAGAACATTTGAAATGATAATGAAAGATCAATTTTTTTCTATTGCAGACAGAAAAACTAATGGAAAACTACAACAAATTCATTAACAGTAAGTAATGTTTCTAACATTATTTTATAACATATAAGCCATTCACATCAAGTAGCTGATCCTTAATTGGTTAGTTATGGGCTGAAATTTATCACAGTTATTTTGAATCATTCAAGGTTATCCTTATTCTACTCTCTTGCCTAACCTTCGGTACACAACTAAAATAAAATAAGCCAGGGGAAGTTGACTCCAAACTTCTTCAACAACTGTTATCAACTTGTGACAATAATAACAAAATATGAACGATACAATCAAAAACCTTTACAAACAATCAATCAAATAATTAGGATTCTGTAAAATACCCCCCCTATCCGAAGCTGCCTCCTGAATTCACAGATTATAAAAAACAGTGAATCCAAATATTTTAATAGGTGACCAGTGGAGTCCAATCCATGTCGGGTAGAGACAGGTATTTAACTCAGACAATGGATGAATAGTTGCACAGCCATTCATGGATCGATGAAAGTTAGACATTAACACCGTTGGATTCCAGATCACTGGTCTAGGGGTTAAGCGTTCGCGCGCGAGATAGAAAATTCTGGATTCGAATCCCACGTGCGTGATCGTGGGGGTGCACTTCTGAAAAGTCCCATATTGGGACGAAACGGCCGTCCAGTGATTCCAAGCTTTCAATAGTGGTCCAACTCATGAATTCAACTATTAAAATTACTACAACCTCCACAAAACCCATTCTGATCATAATTCACATATTAGCGAATAGTTAACAGTAAAACGTTGATACACAACTAAGTCATATTTGGATCTCGACGACGTAAATCCACTTTATATATAATTAAACATCTGTTCATTTAATTTCAAAACATGTAGTAAATGTACCACCCTATAACACAATTATGAGATAAAAATGAAGTCAAGATTATTTCCTCCCTACCCTTTCTGGTAGTTATACTATTTCAGATGTAAATTAATTACAAATTTTGAAAAGTAGTTAGTCAAAAAAGACTACCGTTCAATTCATTTAGGTTTGATCGAATTAATTTAATGATTTAAATGATAATCAAACATAACGCCCAGAATTCAGTCTTTTTTGCTTTATGGATAGGCACTGCTGAAGTGTCCAGAACTAGAACACTAGCTTCATTTGATGTCAGTCCATGACGAAAAATATCACTGTGAATGAACGAAATTTCCTTATGAAATCATTATCAGATTTTAGAGAATAATTCAAATCTATTTTCATTAAACCATCGAATTCTAAGCCACAATAAAGAAGAATAGATATTTAATGACCACTTGGCACAGAAATGTTACCAAACACACTATTATCGATTATCAAGGTTTAAAGTGATACATCTTTTAACTAAACGCTTGAATTGGTTTCCTAAGCTCTTCTAATGACCCCAGGCTAAATATTTACAACAACTTGGACACGAGAGAAAAAGTGTGTAATATGGAAAGAAAGCTTCCACTCAACTAATTGTTCAACAATGAACTGTAGCGTCCAGATTTCGTCTATGCACGACCGATCCTTAAGGAATCCAGCCTGTTGATCTCGAAGATGTACGTCACTAATGAGGACTTAAGAAAATCGTCCACATCATACAGAATTCATACGACGGACTACAGTGCAAAGTCGAGTATGGAGGACAGCGAACAGATGCAATCCAAGTGAGGACCGGAGATAAACAAAGCTGCCTACTCTACTTTTCTCTTTCTTATAGAGGTCGACTGGATTATGAAGATCTCTATATCTCAAGGAAATCACAGAATACAACGGACAGCTCAGAATCAATCAGAAAATTCGAACTTCGCAGATGAACTAGCTCCTCCATCCCATACACACCAGGGGACACATGGCAAAAATTGAAGAACATATGGAATTCAAAACAACCGTCTATAAACCAACATCAAAGTCACAATCTTCAATACGAACGTAAAAACAGTTCTACCATACCGAGATGAAACGTGGAGAACTACCACAACCATCGTCACCAAAGTACAAGTATTTATAAACAATTGACTACACAATATACTAATTGTTCGTCAGTCACATACCATCAGTAACAACCTACTGAGAGAGAGAACAAACCTGCTCCCAGTTGAAGAGAAAATTACAAGAAGAGGTTAAAGGTGGTTACGATACACATTGTGGAAACCATCAAACTTCACCACGAGGCGGGTCCTGACCTGGAATCCTGAAGGCAAACGGAAAAGAAGAAGGCCAAAGGACACATTGAGTTGGGAACTGGGAGCAGACATGTGAAGGATCAATAGCAACTGGAAAGCATTGCCCAGGACAGAGTTGAATAGAGAATGCTGATGTGTGGTCTATGCTCCTCCATGATGGGTAACAGGTGTAAGTAAGTAATTCAAGTACTTGAGGAATTAACCCTTGAGTTAGAAAAACGCTTTCATGCTACGTACATGTCGATGCACAAGATGATATATATTGATTAATAAGAGAACAAAATAGTAATTATATCAGTTATAACTGAAAATGTTAGTCATTAGCTTTGAAAGATTCTCATATGACTGAATCATGATGTTTATCAGATGATTTCAACATGAATATGTCAATTGTAGTTGGATGAGCTAATTTATACTGTTTAGCGATTAATATATCACATTCAACATAAAAAAATAAAAGCGAATTCTTATGAATCAAAATGACAAAACAAATACAGTCAAGCAGAGTTGTAGTCTTGTCCGGTTATCAATAACAAAATAAGCATATATAAAATACTTCAACATCATTCGTTCTTACCTATGATCATTATAAAAACAAATTATACGATTACGTATGCAATCCAATTTAATTGCAATAATATCAGGGTAAATGGGTTCATTTACATTCATCCCACTTGAAATAACATCTGGAAGAAGCTGAAAAACAAGATCAAATTGTCATTATTGATACTATAAGTAATGTTGATACTTGTAATAAAACGTCTTGAAGATGAGTTTCAATATGAATTGACATCAGTCGAAGAATTGATTGAAATACAGAAAACACTAGAAATAGATCTTTAGATACTGGAAATTCAGCTAATTGTTTAAAAAATGATAGTGTTGATTATCAAACATACAGATACCAATATTTATGTAATGATCCCAGTTATATGATTATTGAGATAAAGGATTCTGTTTACCCAATCTTTTCTGGCACAAGTGCGACCTGAACGAAGTACTTCAAAAACATCTCGAGACATAAATTTTGTTTAATACTGAGAGTAAACAGGACTGGAATCCAGGAGGCGCGTTCAATCCTAGTTGAGATATATTAGTTAGGTGTATGAGATGTAAACGTCAAAACTGGGATGCAGATATGTTTAGTTGATACATCCCAGTGAAGACGAAACACACATCCTGAACTCCACTGGTAATTGCAACCCATCTTAACTAAAACAACAATACTGAGTTCGTTATCATTCGAATAAGCAGTTGTGTGTGCATTGAAAAAAAAAACTATCCTGTCAGTCAGTCAGCTACAACGTAAGACCAGGCACATATATGCATCGGCCCAAGTCGCCACATCTCATTAGCATAACAAGATAAACACCAAATTCATAGTAGTTACGTTAATTGTAATAAAAAGCACTTCATATTAGGATATGATACAAGGAGATAGAATTAGTTCGTAGAAAGAAGGATATGAAGTAATCTTAACCCAAAGGCTTAAGGGAAGACAGAGTGTATACACCCACACCATTGTGATCGATAGTGAACCCAGAGCCTCCAACCACTGGTTACAGTAGTCGCGTGGACTGCAACCAAGTAGTCTGAATCTACCAACATGGCTCAGACCAGAAGTTAGTGACTTCAAGAACTGATGCCACGTTTTGATTCGACCACCCCTAGCTTCCTCCCATCGGTCTCAAAAACACCGTAGTAATCGGTAGTTAGACATGTGGTACGTGGCCCAACCATCTCAGTCGATGAAGATTTACAACCTCATCAACTGATTTACCATCATTTCCTAAAACTCTGCGTCTAACCTCACCATTACTTACCCGGTGACCCTAGCAGATGCGAGCAATATTTCTAATACATCTGTGATCAAATACTAGTAACTTACGAGATTCCTCTACTTTAAATGGCCACGTTTCGCGGCCGTAAAGTAGAACAGAACAAACTGCTGAGCAGTACACTCATCTCTTAATTGATATACGGATATCTTGCCTTCGACATAGGTGAAGTAAGTTGACAAAAGCCAAACGAGCTTTTCGAATTTGTGCACAAACTTGTCAGAAACCAAGTCGATAGGGATGATCAGACTTCCAAGATAAGTGAAGTTGTCGATGCATTTGACTACTTCACTCCCTATCCTTAGTTCAGGTGTTGACACAGATCAGTCCTGAAGCAACAACTTGCATTTAGAGAGGGAGAAACGCATCCCAAATATCCTGGAAATGTTGCTTAGTGCTACCAAAAGACTCTGACTTTTGTCAATGTCTTCACCAACTGCGTATTCTAAGTCAATAAGTGGACCTCCCGGTAGGAAATCAACCCCACTGAGAAAAGATGAAACCAAATGTTTAGTGCTTCCTGTATTTTGTTTTTCAAATGATTTTCTGAGACTAAACTTTCCAAAACAATTAACTAGTTAAACAATCGAGAACTATGCAAACTATGTCTTACTATGCCTTAACTTCCAGTTACAAACAGTAGAAGAGCAGATTTCCTACAACTCTCTATTATTTTTTATTAGACAGAACTATTAAATTTCCTGGTTATATATAACAAGTAATATATCAAACAACAATGTACCATATAATTTGTAAATAACAGTACGTTTAACAAACGAAGATATTTTTGCGTCATTAGAAACAAATTAACTCTACTTATAATTAAAAGATTATCATTTTTGACTTGAGAAGAAAACCTAACATAATTCACAGGCCAAACAAAAGCTTACAACTGGAAGTATATAATAAAACATTTTTCTGAGAAAATCATGAGATAAATACTCATGAGAAAATTACACATAATATTTGCACACAAAGAACAGGTATTCAATTTTTATATTTCTAGTTTTTGTTTCCGCCGCCTTTCCACATAGCAACAGTCATAACATATAAACGGACACAAATAGTTAACGGTAAGGAATTTTTCCGACCAAATTGTTTACTTTGTCACATACATGATTAAATCTATGCGACAAATAACTTTAAAGCTTTGTGTGTGTGTTCACATAGATTTATGAAATCACTGCGATTCGAGACTTTTCAGGGGAGTTAAAATTAAATACAACAAGACATGAAAGTTAGTTTTCACTTTTTTAAGAAAATAAATGAATCGACTAAATAGTCAACCAACACTTTTGATTGGTGCTAGAAGAAAGTGTAATTGTTTAGAACAATCCATAAATTTAAATATTCTGACGAATATAATCACTTAGTGTAATAGGAAAATGTGTACAAAGAAAAAACAATTTATGTAAAGAAAGAATTCTTGAGTATTTAAACAAACATGTAGATTTATGATAAACTCAACTCAACTAGATAATCACTGCAATGAAGCATTTGATGAATCCATCTATTTCAATAGAAATATATATATATAGCTTTGGCTTTTCTACCATTATTTGACTGGTTGATGTGTGAAATTTATGTCTCCTGGAATAAAATCGCTGTGGACGACGATAGATCTTCTCTTTACAGCGGAATTCCTTGTGTCCCTTATGGTGACATTTAGTGCAACAGTAGTTTTTATATGGACAAAACTTCGTGTAATGTTTGTCATTCACTGCATAACCAGCACGGTGATGGAGACTACTTGTTTGAGCTGTCCTGCTTTCATGTAAAACAATCTTTTTTGTACATTTGTTACTTGCGTGTATGGTGGCCAACAACTGTTTTGCACCATAGAAGTGTTATGTTTCAAGTTCACTAACCTCTGACATTCAGTGGTCACTTCTTACAGAGTTATCTTTGGACATTGTTCAATTTTACTCAAAATTCTGGTTCTGATATCGGCATCTTCAGGCGACTGCAAGCTACATACAAAAACAAGACACTTAAACTTGTCTGCTGCCATTGCCGATAACTTAAAACGCTCACTCGCGATTTACTAGGCCGGCATATTGCACCCAGTCATCGGCGCCAGCATTTGCTAACTCGAGATATTGGTAATGAATATTAAACAAAGATCACTGTTCATCAAAGATTTGCAACAAAATTTCGTTCATCTCCATCTGTGCCAAGTTTGCGTAGTAGAACTCTGACTTTTGTAGCACCATCGAATTTCTCTAAGTCGACCGAGAATACAGCTTATTATTTCTTGAACCAGGATTCGAATGTCAAACTGACTAAACCACCAAAATCAAATTCGTAGATAGAATTAATGTAGTTGACGTGGGATTTGAATGAATCATCTGTAAGCCCCTTTTGATTTCGATTCATTTGCTGGGTCATGCACAGTTGAAGATGAACGCTACACCAACTTCATTCTTCCCAAGAATCTGAGAGACCTTTCCTATGATGTGATTTATACATGGAGCAAGTGTGCTATTAGAGATTCATAGTCGACAAAAATGGAAGAAAACCTGATCCAGAAAACGTCGAGGCTATCAAGATCATGCATCCACGATAGATATATCAAACTTAAGTTCCTTCTTGGAGATGGTTAACCATTAAGGTGTTTTCCCTCTAGACCTGCATCGTCTGCGTGCCCCGTTGAATTGTTTACTAACAAAGAATATCAAATGCATCTGATTAACAGGATGTTAAGAAGGACTCTAAAACTAAAACAGCTCCTACCGTCAAACCTTCTACTTACGCACTATGATCGAGTCCTTCCTATTGTGGTCGCAGTAGATGCGTCAAATTATGGAATTGGAACAGCGATTTCACATATCTACAAAGATGGATCTGAGAAAAAGGTTGCCTAAGCTGCATGATCACAGACAACAACAGAAAGGAACTATAGTTAGATAGAGAAGGAAACTCTCTTCATTAATAACCATAATAATAATAACGATAACAATTCAAGTTCAAATGAACATGTAGAGCCAACGTAAGAAAAGAATATAAATGAGTTCACAAACTACAGTGAGATTAATATACAATCAAAATTGCTTGTAAATTAACTCCACTGCTAAAATACCACAAGAATTCCTCAACAAAGTGTTTATAAACAGGAAACTTTGTAAACATTCAGTCTAACCAGGAAGAACTGTGAAGATTTTAGTAACTTTGAATAAATTATGTAATTAAATTATAATAATAAGAAAAGAATATATCCATCATGTAATCAGGTAAGATTTGTTTAAATTGATAGTTTTTCCAATTTCATTCCGTAATAAAAATAGTATCGCATTTTTTTTCCAATAAAAACAGATTATATTATTTAGTTTAATACGCATACAGGATTGGCATGGAGACAGGAAGATGTACAAAAGCGAGTAAGTAAATATTGAAGAATATCATGAAAATATGTAAAGAATGAAATGCAAAATTAATGGTGAGAACATATACCTAAAATAAAGGCAACAAATACATGGAAGATGAATTCCAGAAGCTTTTATTGATATTTTCGTATTGTTCATGCAGAACCGCTATACCGATTATTTTCTATTAGTTTATTATATAATTTTATTATTTGAATTCATGAGTTGATCTAAGCTAGACCACCATTGAAAACCCGGAAACACTGGAAGGCTGTTTCGTCTTAGTATAGGACTCCTTAGGTGGAGACAGTTATCCACTTCAGACAATGGATGAAGGGTTGCTCAAGATCATGGGTCGACTCAAGTTAGATATTAACACCATTGGATGCCCGCTCAGTGGTCTAGAGGTTAAGCATTCGCGCGCGAGACGGAAGGTCCTGGGTTTGAGTCCCATGTGCGGGATCGTGAATGTGCAATGCTAGGAAGTCTCATATTAGGGCGGAACGGTCATCCAGTGCTTCCAGGTTTTCAACGATGATCTAGATTACATCGATTCATAAATTCGACTATCAAAATTACCACAATCTCCACAACCCCCCTTTCTGATATTGTATAATTCTCACAACCTCAAACGATCGGACAGACATCACATTTTACAACAAAACCAATATATACATATTTTCTGTTAAAAAAAGAAAATATTACTGTGCATCAGGAAGACAGCACAACTTACATGTAAACTGGAACCCAACGAATGAGGTAAAGGAAGTTTAGCTATAAATTGCAAACTTTCAGCTTCAAATAATAGACAAACACCGGTGGTACAACCAACAGTTACCCATGAACCACTTGTTGAAATACAGTTTGCTCTAGAAGTCTAAGAAAGAAAATAAAAAAAATATGACAATCAAATAATGACAGAAACCTAGACTGCAATGTATGGAAATCAGCCTGTGACAAAATGATGGCTGAAAAAGTTAAGGTTCAATAGATTTTTTAAAGCTTCCGATAGAATATTTAAAAATACAGGTAATACGAGAGGACGATTGTCATCAATCTTTTGTTTCTTTAGGCTCTCTAGTTTATAACTATTCTATTACCGTATCCAATTTAATTAGGATATACATCAGTGAAGTTATGATTTAATTTTATTGAAAATGACAGTTTTTTAACAGCCTTACGTAAATCTGTTCTTTTTTGAACTAGCAAATATGTGCCCGTTTTAATATTATAATTCAATTTAATTAATTGGTAATCTTTTTACCTATTTACATATTTGTTTATGTATGTAGTTGTCTGTCTGTTTATCGATTTTTCATGATAATTGTATCCTTTTTAGATAAACTGAGTCAACGATTGATGGTCCCCATTAATCCACATCACCCACGTTTTGAATTAACAGACAAATAAATGCACATACAATAGGACTGGTCGTGACAATAATCCACACCACGACGCATAATAAACAGCTTACAATCTCTTTGTTTCATACATGTGGTCTGCTGAACCAATTTGTGTGAAATTTATACATCCTCCAAAATATTTTACGTTAAACGTTTATATGCGAATACGTAACAAAAGGGTTAGATTCACTTGCTATTGTTTGTTTGAATCTGCAATCGATCAACCTTTTATTGGCATATGTGCATTCTATGGGTATCGCCTCGATATCACCTTACGCCCATATTTGCTTATAATAAAAGGATTAGTTTAAGAAACACACAAAATAAAGTCGAGTAAGAAGCCAGATTTATCAGAGATTGTACACAATTTCTAAATGTTATAATCATAATCTGTGTTAGTTTTAAAAGGAAAAAATCGATAGTGTTTATCATGTACGAACAGATATACAAGTTAAAAGTTGCATAATACAAAGATATAAATTACATTCACCAGTCTTGAGATGGTAAAGATTTGTAGCTCAGGTGAATGATTTTGATGGAGTTTCGTTCTCCGAGGTGGATGCAGGTACATCCAGCTGACGAGTCTTGAAAAGGACGAAACGCGCATCCTGGATTTCACTGCCAGCCACCAACCATCTTTGCTTATTATGTGAAAAAATTTCGCTGGAAATAGACTATTTTGTAGAACGAATCCAGTGGGATTAGCAACACTTATCATTGATGTAAATGACTGACTTCCAACTTCAATACAATAAAGATTAGACGAAATATACAGAAATAGTTAAGAAACCTTGTATAACTGAATAGGATATGAGATTCAATAGAAGTAGCGGCTTCATATTACTTAAAGTATACATTTTTTTATTAGTTGAACGTCCTTTTTAATATTAGTACTAAACCTTGAAGGTAAATTCCATTACCACCTGTTGTCAATTAAAGAATGAACGAAGATGTTTGATCCTAATTCGGCAGTCCTAGTAGTAGTACACACTCAACACACAGGATAGTGGCCTGTATTGTATTAATCAATTGGAGGTTGCTATAGAATGAGTCATATATATACATTGGATGCAAATTGTACCACATTCCAAAGAGAATAAACTAGAAAACTTAGTCTATTAAATTCTAATCTAGGGGTTTGACATTTGGTCATCGATTTTCAACTTCGCATGACAACGTATAGGGATATTACTGAACGGTTTCTAACTATCAACAGTATTTTTTCTAGTAGACGTCAATTCTTAACAAAAATCACCCTTAAACTAAACAAATATACATTAATTTAAAATGATTGGCAATTAATATTGATTAAGCTTAAAAAGAACATAAAACACATTAGTAACAAACAGATACAAATCAATAGTTTGTACCATTCATTTAATGTTATAAAGAAATAAGTTGCATATATTATTGACTATTGAATGTAGTGAAAATATAAAAAAAAGTTACAGTTACAGTCATTTGTTAATTGTACATTGGATAAACAATGATATAACATGAATGACAAAGTTTTATAAATTAATTGAAAGTGTTCATTGGTTACCCTGGGGAATAATAGTTTGAATGCTACACTGATTAAAATGATAATCATTCAAATCTAGTCGATAAAATCAAAACAAACTATAAGTATACATAAAAGAAACAAAGGATGAAGTGTTGAAAAAAAAGGGATTAATTGACGTCATCTACAAATATTCATCAATAAAGCATAAAAATACATTCATTGGTGTATTTTATACATATTAACTGATAATTTAATTAAAGCTCTAAACATATATTGGATGAATGATTTAAAAAGAACAATGTACGCAGTAGACAAGTATAAAATAAAGATAGGTAGATAGACACACATAGAAAGAGAAAGAGAGATAACGATGAACAATTCAATAACTCACTTTTAAATCAACCCATTTGTCTAGATCTCTTTGACCATTAAATTGTATTAAACGACCAGCTGTATTTACGACTAATGTCAAAGTATTAGATGTTGTGGTTGATGTTGTTGTAGAGCCGATACCTGGAGACGGTGATGATGATGCTGATGCAATTTTACCACTGTTATTATTTGTTACATCTTCACGATCTTTTCCTTCGCCTCCTGCTGTAGATTTCAATTTAGCAGAATGAATTTGAGTAGAACCGGGATTAGAGGAAGACAAAGTAGGCGAAGAAGAAGACAACGACGACGACGAATTAACACAGCATACATCAGTAAATACACTGTTGAACATATCGCCTAAGATAGCATTTCTTCCATGAAGTGGTAGAGTTTCACGAATCTATCAGTTAGAATGAAAAAATAAAGGTAAAGAAAAGTGCAGAACAATCGTATACTTAATGTTTGTATTGTTGCTACGATTATAATGAGTGTTGGCTTACCCTAACTTCGTACATATCACCTCACATTTCACTTCATTTGGTGTAATACCCGTTTAATGAAGACATTATGTTTAGTTAAACAATATATTGCTACGACATACGCATATTAATAACAAATAGAGATGTTCGAATTTCAGCCCAAAAATTTTAAAGTACCATATGATCATCGTGATGGAGACTAGTGTTTTTGTCTAATCTGAAGTCAATGATAACAGTGGAATAGATTGTATAAATTAACATAATAAGTGAAAGGTACAAATCGGTAGTGCGATGACAGGCGTACTAGCTGCGATAAGAATAATAAAGGCTTGAATCAATGTTTCGTTATGGGAAAAAAGTCAATGATTAGAAAATATAGACACTGAAATCACATTCCAAAAAAAATCATAAGATTATGTAATAAGCGTCCAGATTATTGGACCGTGAAGCGTATATTTGAGAAAAGAAAAGGGTGGAAGAGGGTGAAGAAAAACAAACGAAAAAGTATGGAATATAATAATAAATAAAATCAGTTGATAGGGTCGAGGGGAAATAAAGGTGTCAAAAATTTCTTATGAACGCAAAGACTTGGGTCGAGTACAATAGACAGATGTTAGCTGCATTAAACGTTCTCATAACTGCTCTGATCAGTCTATCATGTAGCATATCACCAGCGACATCTCCATTGAATTCCAGTTTCAGAAAGAGGGGTTTCTTACTAGCTGTTAATGTCCCCATTTTCTTGTTTGTTACATGCAAGAATTTCTTCAGGAAACCTTGTGGATAACCCATTTCCATCAACATATTATGTATAAGAATTTGGTTATTTATTCTCTGAAGAAGTGACTTACACTAAGTCACAAAACGTCAGAAAATCTAATTTTCTACTCATTGGGATATTACAAATATATTATTTTTATTTATAACAATCAACCCAATGCTCAATTTATTCGAAATTATCAAATCAAACCTTGGTGATGATACCTTCAATTGTAATAAATTCATTTTAATGAAATAAACCGGGAAAAATCAACTATTTTAGTCGTAATGACGTCGATGAGACATTATCAGAATGACAGAAAGCTGAAGAACTCGTCAAAACACTTAGAGACACAATTATTATGTCAATGCATGGGATTTGTGGCGCACGTAGAATTTTCACCGTTCAAATTACGAACTGATTCTTAGCTAGATCACGAGTTGAAATTCCGAAAGAACTGAACAGCCATCTCGTCCTACTATGGGACTCCTCAGTACTGCACGTCCACAGCTCTGCACTCAGGAATCGATCTATTCAAGCATAAAAAGCATAAATTTCTAAGAACGTTCCTACTTCCAATTAATTTGGACTCTTCAGAGAGATCAGTATTCATGTAATGTCAGTGAATGAGGAGTGTTTTCAATAATTCAGAAAAAAATCCATAATTATGTAATTAGTAAATCAATATTTTTCGTGTGATTAGTTCCCTTCACAAATGTGAAATAAAACGAGGTCCGCGATATTTGTAGACTACAATGAATTAATTAAATATTGTTGCTTTCTCACCACTTAAATACAAGTTAATAAGCTAAGTTGATTTAAAATATTAACTTGAAGTTTTTTAAGAAATGAATCATCATGAAAGATCACCGAAATGTTTGAGTGAAACGGTAGTTTAATGACAAAAATTTATAGCTTTCCATCAGGTAGGTTACACGTACGAATCTACAACTACCTAGTTCGGGGCTTAGATAACCGGCAATCTCTAATTAAAAAGTAGCTGAACACTCAATACATAAATCTATGCTTGGTACATTAGTTAATCAATTAAACCATTGAGATTCATTAAAACGTAACATCGTAATAACGATTCTTAAAATAAAGTTCTTCGAAAAATGCCATTTTACTTCTGATTATTTACGTTCAACTGACAATTATTTTTTTGAATATTGCCACTGTTAAGCAATTTATATGAAAGTATATATAGTGACCAAAATTACAAAAACACTTACTTTACTGCGTTTATTTTCTAAATACCAAAAACGAACATAACGTACACCAACTGTAACAAAAAATTGTCCCATTGGACTGAAAGCAATTCCATAGATCTATTAATAGGGGAAAAATTTATAAAATAAAATATTTGTAGAATAAAAACTACATTAATTGCTATACAAACTTTCATTCAAGTTTAAAAAAGATAACTTCACAAAATATTGAACTCAGTGTATACTCAATGTATATGAAGGGTTGTAGATTTCATGAATTTAAATTTAGAACTAACTTTTTACTTTTACTGCTTACACTAGTTTTTCGTAATATATCCTTGTGAACAATTAAGAATTGGTACTACACAAAATCTTTCAGTTTTTATTTGAGAGTTACTAATCCTAAAGAATTCACAGAAAAAAAAACACAATATAATTCGTGTTCTTAAATGTGCAATACAATGGATGGATAGTTTTATGATGAGTGTACACTTAACGATTCACAAAGCTAAGCTGAAAGTTTGAACGTTACCATTACACAATTAAATTACAGCATTGAAGTAGTCTGTAAAGACTAGTAAAGTAACCTTGGGAGAGAAATGCCGACTTTTAAACAATAAAAATCCTGGTGATATAAATCAACATCTTAATGCAAAAAACAGAAAGTCTATGAGTTTTGGTTCGGATTAGGAGTTAGAGTATGGTTTAAAAATTACAGTTAGTATAAAGTGTTAAAGGATAGGAGTAATGATGAGAAATCGAGTAAGTAAATTCCAAGTATGGATGAATATTTAACAAGTTAGTTCTTTGATTTTAAGTATTTAAAACCGTATAGATTATCTTAAAAATGTAAGGATCATGCAACGCTATCTTTAATATTTCTTGTGTATATCCGTTTTAACCATTTTATTGCCTAAATATTGGTTGTATTCACTCAGACTTTAATAAAATACACGCTGTCCATCACTGTGTTCTGAATCTCAAGCAAAATTCCATGGTTCACCATCTTAAACCTCAATGCCCAGACAGTAAAATACAGTTTTACCAACTACACTAGCATTAATTTAAATAAGAGCACACAAAACGTTTTTCTCAAAAAATGAGATCCTACAAATTTATACTTCACATTTATTTTTCAAGAAAAAAACACTTGGAAAAGCTACAGAAATTGTTTAAATTACTACATTTATATTAATGGAATAAGTAAATATTCAAAGTTTAACGCTTTTCTACCAGTTTCAAACATTTGTTGATGTACGGAAATGCATAACCGAAAAAAAAATGATTTACAGAGTTCCATTGAACTAGATTTCAGTAGAGGAATTCATTGTTAAACAGTTTGACGTAATTTGAATAAAAGCTGAATAATTAATTGTCAATTTATGGAACGATGCACAAAAATGAGGTCTGACAGTCAACTCTTAATTGACTGACCTTCAAACTGAATTCCTTTAATAGACTATGGTATTTTACCAAGTTTATTATGTTCGTATTCACGATGTATGTCATTTTATTACATGAAGAACTATCCACCTATCTAATGGTCTTGCCACTGAGTTCTAATCATTCATAGACAATAATACGGTCTTTCGAGTAACCATTACTCGGAAATATCATATCACTGTGTTCATTTGTCGGTTAGCATTTTATAGATTGATTTTAACAAACAAAAATCTCATCGCATCATATCATCAAACACCTCTCCATAACAGTTTGTGCATAAATAGCTGAAATAACACTGAAAAACTAAGTATTAATGAACTAAAATGTATGAGTTTTATCAGTAACAGCTATAAAATCCTAAATTACGTTAAAAATTAAAGTTATGTACAAAACATATGACCAGATAAAAATAGGTTTCACTTCAAGTTGCAAAACTTCACTCACCACAAATAGGAGCAAAGAAATCGAAAGAATAAGACGGATAGTAGAAAAAAGCAATCATAGGAAATATAGATCAGAGGTATGAATAAAATTAATAAATCAGAAATATGCAGTAACATAATCCAAGATTTAAAAGGATGATACAGAATGACAACAAGGACAATCAATTTATTAAATTACTACGTCTGACAACAACATTACTCATTTGTTGATGATTACACCGAAATTGAGTAGTGCTTCGAAAACAATAACACTTTGCGAAGGAATGAAAATCGAGTTTTTTTATTAGTATCTGTAATCGGAGCCAAAATTATACCATACTATACTATCCTTTTCTCACCCCCTCAATCTCTTCAGAAATTTCGTGCAATTGGTTTTATTTTATGAGTTCGAATAAATCCAAAACAATAACCGAGGCTGAATAATATGAATTTATTATATTTCGTGGTTTCTCATCAGCTGCTTACAACCATATATGTAATGAAATGTAACATTGAGGTAAGATGTAATGTGAAGCAATTGATAATACTGCCTTATCTGCTTTCTTTCTATGTTTTTTGGAACTCGATCTCCAAATGGTCTCACATCTGTTCCTCCACATTATATCTCACCTTAAATGTTACATTTCAATACATATATATGGCTGTAAGCAGCTAAAATGAGAAACCACGAAATATAATGAATTCATATTATTCAGCCTCAGTTGTTATTTTGGCTTTATTCTGAAAAATAAAAGAGTACATACTTATTGTCTAAGTAGTTTGATGACATTGATTTCATGAAGAAGTGCATACAAAAAAAATTTATATAAGTAGTTTGCAACTCATATTGTTTCTTTTTAACCATTCCTGCTTATCAAATTTTTAGGACATTTCTATGCCAAACAAAGATAGATGAAGGCAAACACATAGATAGAATAGAAAGTTGATTTCTGAAGAAAACTCTATTCGAAAAGAAAATATGGTAACATAAAACCATTGGGTTTGAAAATTATCCAACCAATTTTCAGAATATAAGTTCAATTATAATTCAGTCGAGTAAATTCACGTGATTTGACCGTAAAACATCATTTTCAAGGTTAAACTTGTATTTAATACAATTTTTTCGTGAGAATATTCTGAAACGAAAGAACTAACTGTTTATATCACATTAATATTTTTAATGAATTAGAAACGTTATTCTATCCATTTCAAGTTTCTATAACAAGACAGATAATCTTGAATTTATGCTTGTCAATCACCGCATTTAGTCAATTGTAGTACGGTACTAGATATAAGTACATTTTGTGTCTATTGAGCTGTCGACTCATGTTTTCTTTATTCCTCTCTACCTTCAAGATTTACTCATCCACATCAACGTTATTGGTTAAACTCTATAACATTACGTCTTTAGGTCAGATGCAAAACTATAGAACGTTACATTAATTAAGATCATTTAAACCTATAATTAATTGATGGATGCATATGTGTATAAAGTTTAACTACATATATTTTTGTATAATATTTTTAGGTAAAGCAACTGATATCTTGAAAAAACACTGACTACTTTTTTCATGTAACAAATAACAAAACCAAACGAATTGATAGCTCAGTGATTAAGGTGTATGAATTCTGGGTAATAAGTCACAGATTCGAACTCTATCCCATCTACATTGGTTTACGTAACCCTGTTACATTTAGAGTGTGACTCGAAGTTAAGTACACGAATTCGTACTTCATAAATGAATTGAATAGATAAATACAATAGAGACAAAAGCGATGAAATTTTTATGAAACAAAGATCTGAAAATTAATATTTTCCTAATACAATCTATTTTCGCAAAAATACATACGTATATAAGTAAAAATATGTCGTGAAGACCATTTTATCAACGTATTTCACATAAAATGTATATGTATTACCAAACTAAAATGGAAAACAAGAAAAAAGGGATACTGAAATTTCAACAAAACTTGAGTAAAAAATAAGCTTGTTACTTCTTATATGTTTAATAATAGTGATACTAACACTACTACTAATAGTAATAATAATAACAGCAATAAACCAACAATGAACTCAGACATTTTCGGTTGAAGTAAAATAAGTCATTCTAACATTCATTCACAAAAATAACTTTATTAATAAGGTGTAGAGTTTGTCATCATGTTACAGAAGTTCTTAAAACGAACACACATACAGGCAAACATAAGAACGCTGTATTTTGAACAATAAAATATTGGCTCAAATATCTATACCGTGTGACAAGAGAGAGAAAATTATCAAATAAATAGGGAAAATATAAGTGAATAGAAATTAATAAAATATACTAACAAGATGCTTAAGATTGAACTCATATTATTTTGGTCGATTTGAAGTTGACATTTGAATTATTCAAATCATGATCTTTAATATGTTTCACAAGGGATTCATTAATTGAAGATGCTTCGAATCTTAGTTATTTTCATTACTGAAGATTTCCATTCTAATTAATTAGCTTAACTTCCCAAATAGTATTTAATTTGTGCAAGTCCGATTCAATGATATTAAGAGTAGGTAAATTAGTAAGAATATAATATGTTAATCTAATATATTATCGTAACCTGAAAAAGTTTTCACAATTGATAGTTATCAATAGATATGTCAATCTGCATTGTAAGTGCTTTTTTTTCAACTAACAGCTGAAATAAACAATTTAGTGTACGTAAATTAAGTTAAACCAAACGGACAAAACGTATTCAGTTTTATTACACAAGGATACAGGAAAACTAATTATGTTAACAAAAATAAATATATTTTTTGTCATTTCCCAATAAGTAGAAAATTGTATCTCTGGCGCTTTGTGACTTAATGCGAGCCACTTCTTCGGAGTAAATAAATAACCGGATGTTTGAGTGATAGTTTATATAAGAACTCTATGTAAAATAAGTGTGAACAGTTCAACTTATTAGAATTCTATAGATACATAACTAGTTGGTATAGAATAAATGGAATGCGGTTAGCAGTGAAATCCAGTCGGCGTGTTTCATCCTATTTAGGATGAGTATCCTGGATTCCATTGCTATTCTATACTAACTCATGTTACAATGGCTAGATCGAGACAATCTGCATAGGATTCACATATACCAACTAAAACTTATTGAAGTTCAATCAACGGAAAAACGACGGGATGATTCAATCCATTCCAAATCAAATTAAATACAAAGCTAGCCCCTTGTTATTAAGTAAACTGACAACTCCATGTAAATAACATATTCTGT